TGCATCTTTGCATCACAAGCTGAGGCATACAATAGTCAGCAAATCCTGAGAGACAAGCTGTTGCAAGCTATTCGTTCGGAGAGTGGCTTTGACTTGAGCTAATTGCTCAAGAACTCGCCACACCGTTTCGCGAAACACGCGTGCTTTACATTGCTACAGGCCCCATGGACAATTTAAACTTAGCAGATCCATTGCCAAAGGGCGTGGAAACTTAGCTAGGCCATACAGGCCTCGCACAGACGAATCGCTTCCATGTGACAACCGTGGGCTGCGGGATCGTGGTAGTTTCTCGCATGCTGCTCGTGTGCTGCTCGTATGCTCGACCAGGAGCCTTAAGCACGGCTTGGAGGCATTTGGAGCACGTTGCACGCAAGACAACGAGCATTCAGGAGTCTTGTGCCATCAGTGCCTTCATTTCACCTTGTACGACCTGTAGACCTGTATCTCGTATCCTGCGTAATTAACCACCGCACTTGAGCTGCGCTTATGAGCTTCTGACATGTGCGCTGGTGGCATGTGCCGGTGGTCCTGTGGTTAGTGCACCTCGTCCTACAGTGGCATGTTTTTTCTTGCATAGCTCCAGTCCTCTCAACGAGCTGCCTTCGCGCAGTGATGGCTTTGATTGCATGCGGTGTAAGAGGCTATTTTCCCTGAACCTTTCGTGCAAACGAAAGGTTATTCATTGGGTTGCTATTCGGGGTGTCGGATATCGTGTATCCGGTTTGCAGGAGTCACTTGCCCAATGCAGGTTGATGCTGCTGTGGCTTCTGGAGGCTCTGCCAGAATGCTTTAGTTCCATGGCTGTGGACGGCCATCGTGCTCGTGCAGGTCCTGCTTTGGTCCCGTGTGGCTCATGCCGAGGCCGGCGTCTCTGCACATAAGGCTCATCAATCGGATTCCGTGCCTCAGGTCGGCTTTGTGGCGGCAGAAGTGGAAGAAGTGGCATTCCTGGCATCCGGCTCGGGCGTCGGCAGGCCTGGCCCTCGCGGAACATCGAGAAGTTCATCGTGTGCTTTGTTGAAGGATGTTGAAGGGTATGAAGTATGAAGGTTCAGGAAGGCGTTGCTCAGAAGCCGCATCGAACTTTGCTCTAAGTCATTCTAAACGAGAAGGTCCGATGCTGATGTCGACACCACGCGTCCAAGACTGACCTCCTGGAGCAAATCTGCAAGCTTGGAGGCACAGAGGCCGTGGCCGCACAAGCTGCAACAAGCACTAGCTGGATGAAGCACATGTCCTGCGCACGTGCAGTTCTTGTTTTTGGAGAGCTAGGGAGAGCCTGTGAAGGATGGCATCAGTATCACATCGAAGCCCATCAGCAAGCACATTGAATGCTATCGGCCACAAGATCAACAAGACAGAAGACAATGCAACTAGGTTGCGCCCGCGCCAGACCTCGGCAAGGAGAGAAGTCCAGGCAACCAAGCGTGACTTAGAGCAGCAGCTGCGCCACAGTCAAGAGAGGCTCAACGAAACCAAGCAAGGCGAAGCAATCGAACAGAGCCGAGAAGCTGCACTAGTCCGCGAGGTCAGTCTCTTGAAGCAACAGCTCAGGAATGAAACAGCTGCAGCCAAAACGGACCTGGCAAGAGCTGCAGTGGAAGAGCAGCTGATGCAGCAAGAGCGACAGCAAGCTCGCATGTCGCGAAAGAACTCCTCAGCACACATGGCAAAGCTGCAGTCAGCATTGGAGCAGGCCCGTGCAATCGCCGACGGCGCTCGTCGGAACGAGACGGGAGCAGAGGAGCGGCTGCAGCAAGCCGAGGAGAAGGAGACCGCTCTTGCCCAAAAGGCTGACAACTTGCGAAGTGCTCTGCAGAAGGAGATAGCAAAAGCAAATGCCACTATTGCAAACGTGTCGCATGCCCAGGCTGTGGCAACAGAGGAGGAACGAGCTCGTGCTCGAAGTGCTGTGGCCAAGATGACGGATTTGCACCAGCGCTTGGCAGGCACTCAAAACATGACAAGAGCAGCAAAGGCAGAAGCCATGATGTGGCGAAAGCAAGCGCAGGGGCTGCAGCGTGCGATGGCCAAGGCAGAGGACGCAGCAGCGGCAGAACATGCGTGGGCTCGTGCAGTGGTACGCAACAGCACTAGATCTGTTCGAGAAACTGCTCGCAGGGAGCACGAATCCCTTCTGAAACTCAAGAACCGATCAGCACGTGAACTTGAAGACAGCCGGAAAGAGGCGAAGAGAGAAGTCCAGGCAACCAAGCGTGACTTAGAGCAGCAGCTGCGCCACAGTCAAGAGAGGCTCAACGAAACCAAGCAAGGCGAAGCAATCGAACAGAGCCGAGAAGCTGCACTAGTCCGCGAGGTCAGTCTCTTGAAGCAACAGCTCAGGAATGAAACAGCTGCAGCCAAAACGGACCTGGCAAGAGCTGCAGTGGAAGAGCAGCTGATGCAGCAAGAGCGACAGCAAGCTCGCATGTTGCGAAAGAACTCCTCAGCACACATGGCAAAGCTGCAGTCAGCATTGGAGCAGGCCCGTGCAATCGCCGACGGCGCTCGTCGGAACGAGACGGGAGCAGAGGAGCGGCTGCAGCAAGCCGAGGAGAAGGAGACCGCTCTTGCCCAAAAGGCTGACAACTTGCGAAGTGCTCTGCAGAAGGAGATAGCAAAAGCAAATGCCACTATTGCAAACGTGTCGCACGCCCAGGCTGTGGCAACAGAGGAAGAACGAGCTCGTGCTCGAAGTGCTGTGGCCAAGATGACGGATTTGCACCAGCGCTTGGCAGGCACTCAAAACATGACAAGAGCAGCAAAGGCAGAAGCCATGATGTGGCGAAAGCAAGCGCAGGGGCTGCAGCGTGCGATGGCCAAGGCAGAGGACGCAGCAGCGGCAGAACATGCGTGGGCTCGTGCAGTGGTACGCAACAGCACTAGATCTGTTCGAGAAGCTGCTCGCAGGGAGCACGAATCCCTTCTGAAGCTCAAGAACCGATCAGCACGTGAACTTGAAGACAGCCGGAAAGAGGCGAAGAGAGAAGTCCAGGCAACCAAGCGTGACTTAGAGCAGCAGCTGCGCCACAGTCAAGAGAGGCTCAACGAAACCAAGCAAGGCGAAGCAATCGAACAGAGCCGAGAAGCTGCACTAGTCCGCGAGGTCAGTCTCTTGAAGCAACAGCTCAGGAATGAAACAGCTGCAGCCAAAACGGACCTGGCAAGAGCTGCAGTGGAAGAGCAGCTGATGCAGCAAGAGCGACAGCAAGCTCGCATGTCGCGAAAGAACTCCTCAGCACACATGGCAAAGCTGCAGTCAGCATTGGAGCAGGCCCGTGCAATCGCCGACGGCGCTCGTCGGAACGAGACGGGAGCAGAGGAGCGGCTGCAGCAAGCCGAGGAGAAGGAGACCGCTTTAGCCCAAAAGGCTGACAACTTGCGAAGTGCTCTGCAGAAGGAGATGGCCGAGGTCAACGCTACGTCGGCATGGGCCAGAAGGGCAGTTGCCTTGGAGCAAGCGAGGGCACAGCGTGCCTCGGAAGGGAGTGCAAAGGCTCTTGCAAATGTCAGCCGGTGGAGGCAGGAGGTGCAGGTGCTACGGGGGCAACTCAACAAGACCAGTCAAAAGCACCTCAAAAATCTCGAAGAGGAGTTGCAGCGGGAAAGCCGCGCAGAGCGCGCTGCTCAGCAGGCTGCGCAGCATCTCCAAAAGGCGTCGATGAACTGGACCAAGCAGAAGCTCCACTTGCAATTTGAGCTGCGGAGGCAGCAAGCAGAGGCTGTGGCGGCTAAGCAGAATGCAACGGATGCGCGGGACCAATCTGAAAGGGCACATGCTATGCTGAGGAGCGTCATGAAAGCAAAGAAACAAGAGGTGGCCTCCGAGCGAGCGCTCGCTCAAAAGGCCGAGGAGCAAGAGGCAAAAGCACGCCAAGGGGAAGTGGAAGCGGAGCACCGTGAGCAAGCTGAGCGGACGTGGGCAAAAGAAGAAGTGGCAAACGCCACCAGCGCTGCGCAGGTCGGGGCCTTTGCAGTCCTGAGCGGTGCAAGGCTGGCATTGTGTGCAAAGAAAGCCCTCGTGCTTGTGCAAGGCGCTACGTGGTCAGCTCAAACTTGACCGACAAGCTCCTTGGAATCATTGTGTTTTTGAGCTAGTTTTCAATGACATGGGTGACATGGGGTAGTCAGTTTGTGTCAGCTTTGCATTTGGAGTTGGAGGCCAGAGTTGGCCGGGGTGTCCTCATCATCTTGCTTCTGGCCGGGATGCTGGTTCTCGGACTCGGGGCGCTGCTGCCACTGGGCTTCCAAACGGTGCATAAACCAGATACACTTCGAACATGCGAACTGCTAATAGCCCGTTGAACCATCTGAGGCACTGGTGGCAGCTTGCTGAACGAGCGGAGCACATCGCCACTCTGCACAGTGGGGATATGAACGCTGGCCAAAAAGTCCTGCTTCTTCGCCCTGATCTAAGGAGCTCATCATGAAGCTGAACCTTGAAAGGTTGAAGGCCACAGGGTGTCTTGAGCCTTTGTCGGGTGTCAGAATGCCGGTGCTGGCTCTTCGCAGGCTGTCAAGGCGCTCCAGGGCAGCTCCGGCTCACAGGGGCCACTGCAAGTGCCACTGCTTGCCAATGGCGCCCAGGACTGGGCTGTGACCTGCGGAGATGGAGTCAAGTGTTTCAAGTGTTGACGAAGTGCATCATCACGCAGGACTAGTAGCTGCTTGCGCCCATCTTCCAGCTGACCTGAGACGGGTGCAAGACCTGAGAGACATGGCCACTCGATGCCACTCGTAACCCGCAAGAAACACTCCGTAGCTGACTCCGAGGAGACTCCTGGTGCATCTGACGCCAGTAGAAGTCGTTTCTGAAGCCTCCCACATAGAGCCACAAGCGTGGCGATGCTGATCGGGAGCGCTGCATACTGTGCTAATGCAGCTACCTTGTGGCAGCGAACCAAAACAGGCAAGGATTGTTGCGCAAGCGAGGACGTGAGATTGTCATCCTGGATGCCTCGGTAGATGAATCGAGCATATGAAGTTGCCAAGTTGCCAAGGCCGCTAGCAATCGCAGCCCCGCCCCAAGCGGTGGTGTCCCAGGGCCTCCCAGGGTTGGATCAGCTTGGTGCGCTTTGTGTCTCCACTGAGGCCCCGACTGGGCCTCCACCAAAGCGGCAAGTACAGGCTCGACTATCGCGTCCGAGCCTGTCGCGCCTTGATGGCCAAATGTTAAGCACTTGCCAAACTGTCATGTGCTGCCATAGTTTTTCGACAGTTTTTAGCGGTTTAGCGATTGTAGACGCATGCGTGCGCCACCTGGGCAGTCGGGCCGGCCCGGCTTCCAGGGGGAGTGGTTCCTAGGCAAAGTCCAGGGCCGGGGGGGTCCACTCGGCCGGGGGCCCGACGCGAATAGTTTCAGAGTTATTAGTAACGGTCACACCTAAACTATGGGAGGTGTGGCAGGTCTAAGAGGCAGAGATGGTGCGCGAAAAGTCTAGCTCCAATGTGTGGCTCTGAGGGCGCTGGCTTCTATGTAGCCATTGAGTCATTGTTCCGCCAACTTAAACCAGCCACTGCATCTGCACATGCCTTTTATTCCAACATAGCCAGATGTCGGATTGAAAGTTGCTTGTTGCCTGAACCGGTATCAGTTTCTTTTTCCCTTGCCACATAAGCCTAGGAAGTTTGCGCCTGCTTCATTTCAAATCGAAGCCAGCGACCGAAAACAGAAAGGCTTGGTTGGCCCCCTGAAAAAAAGCCCATGGCCACAAAAGTGCCAGCAGCGTCTAGCCACTTTGTTTCACAACTTCGGCAGGGTTGAGCTAGGTCAGAATGCTGCTTGTGTGGTACAGCATGGTACAGCCCAGGTTTCAGAGCGGCCTCACCGCCTTGACAGAGCCTGAGAAAAGAGTCGGAAGCCGCCAACAACACGGTGAAATGCACGCCATGCTGTCGTAGTTCACAGCGGCATGAGAAGCCGAAGCTTGCAGTAGCATTGCGTTGCGTTGCAGCATTGCATCGCACTGGGATACCCCACAAGCGAAGCTCCAACGCTGAGGCTTGACAAGGGCGAGGCCTGGCCTTCGCAAGCGACGAAGGACCAAGAGTTCCTACATCTGGCTTCATTTCCAGAATGCACAATCTATCAATTACTCCTACATCCACAGATGTGTATATATGGAGAGAACTAACTAACTGTTAGCTAACTGTATGCATGCGATGTATCCGCGCCGCTTTTGGCCTGTTCTCGAGTAACCTGTTTGGCTCTCATGCGCGTTGCTTTTTTGGCGCACCGATGTTTTGTGTCAGTTCGAGTGCTAGGATGATCACTTATGCCTCAATCAACCACTTCGTCAGGTAGCTTGGAGCGCTTCACAGCAGTACTCTCTCAAGAATTTGGAAAACTTAAGGGTTAACGCCGGTAGGGGGTGGTTGTCGGGTTTGCGGTGACAGAAAAGAGCGGAGTTGGGGGGGGGGGGGGGGGAAGGGACTTGTTGCAGTTGCGTTGCGAAAATGGAAAAAACCCTTCACTGGCGCTCGCCTCCAGCTTGCGGGGGTCGGCGGATCTGACTAAAAATGGGTCATCCCCACACCGCCCTGCAACCAGGAAACTGCTGCAGAGTGGCGAGAAGTGATCGCATTTCAGGTGTCGCAACGAGCTTACACGAGGTTCACTGTGATGGAACCAATGAAGCAGTCCGCACACAATGCGTGTTTTGGGGCGTTGATGGGCGTTGCCATCCGATGCTTTTGTCCTCTGCTTGCTCTTAGCAGAAGCGTGTAGAGCAGTCGGCTCGCCGTGTGCCGCGCCACAGCCGCGCCATGACAGCGGAGCTAGCGAAGCCCCTGCTGGGGAAAAATGGCAACAAGGCCCCAGTTTCGTGGCATGTCGGTGCTAAGCCTGCTATTAAGCCTACTAAGCATGCCTTGGGTTCAATATGAAGATGGACTCGCCAGTCCGCAGAAGTTGGATCCACGGTCACGGCAACGGTGGTGTGCTCAGATACCGTTCAACGAGAGACACCCACTTGGAGTTTCACTCGGGGCATGCTTCATTTGCATGTGCTGAAGCCTGCTAAGCATTGCTACATCTCCACGCGTGCGGAGATTCTCAGCCGTTAGTCTGAGGTTATCAACCTGTTGAAGAACATGGTCGGTGCTGGCCTTTTGAATGCCGGGGCCTGTTTACTAGTCACTGCTCATCATGACAACAGCACTTGAATCTCTGTGCCTTTCATGTGCGGGAGGGAGCGATAGGCGGCAGGGTAGTCGTTGTGACGCATAAGCCTTCGTCGGCGCTGTGCCACGGCGGGCCATTCTGTCCCCCTCAACATGTTACCATGCCCACAAGGCGTAGTTCCGTAGCAGACGCGTCCCTGGTGTTGGTTTCATCTATAGAATCTATTGCAGCACTCAGTGCTGGCAAGTTGTGCGGATGTTGAACAGCTTGCGCGGGTTTTTATCAACGGGAGGTCAGCGCAAAGGCATGCAAAAAGGCTCAAGCAGGGATCGAGCGAATCGCGCGAACCTGCTCAGGTCTGCGTGGCCTTCCAATATGCCTCCGTCCTCGGCGGGCTGCTGATAATGCTTTTCTCTGCATTTGTCTGCACTGGAGGACTTGAACTTCACATGATTTCATGTGCCTGAGATGTTGAGCCTCCGGCTGATTGTTTGCGGATTGCGCGAGGATTTCTGCTCATCGGTTATTGTTGCTCCAAGACTCAAGCCATGGCCTCGGCTTCATAGGCTTATATGGGACGTGTCCAGAGCTGCATCGCCGGACTGCTCAGCCTTTGTGGAGTGTTCTGGATTGGGCCAGTAGAGCTTGAACCTGCGCTTGAGTCAGGCAAAGACCTTCCGAGAGCTTTGGCGGTCTGCCATGGGCCAGAATACGGAAAAGCTCCTTGGGTTGTAAACTTATTCGTGTGCAACAGCCAGGTAGGCTTCACAATCCGCCAATCAGAACGTGTTAGAACATTGACAGGACTTGTGGTACCAGCTCAAGCCATGCAAGTCCCAAGGACGGTCGACGTGGTTTTGTTCTTCCACACTCTCTTCAGCTGTGTAGCTGTCCCAGACCACATACCACGACCCTGCTGCAAACGCAGTTTGAGAGTTTGAGATGTCGAGAAAGGCAAGGCCGGGAGGCTTGGGGTCTCCGCAAACCTTTGGAACCGCTCTACCTCTGAGCTTTGTCTGAGTGTCTCTTTGAGGTAGGGTACGTCACCATGATCGGAGACTTCTGCATCAAGAGCGCGTCTGGCTTGATGCCGAACTCGGTTTTTGCCCACCGTCGAGAATCTTCCATTCTCGCGGCTTGTCAGGATTTGCCGGCATGCTGCATTGCATATCGTCAAAGCCAAGGCAGATTCAGACAAGCAGCCCGACTAAGGTCATCAGCCTCTTCGGCATCTTCCCTCTTTGCTTGTACAAGGCCTGTCCGATTTTGTCGGGCTTCGTGTCGTTGCCTGGTTCAAACACGACAGTACGACAGATCAGGGATCGTGCGCAGGAATTGTTCACAGAGTGTTCAGCCCATGCCCTGTGAGAACTTGGAGCCGCTGAAGTACACATCAGTCGTCGGCCTCTTCATCACGGCCATCTCTTGCGTCGGCTGCCCACTTGATAGCACTCGTGGTCACTTGCGTATCTGAGTACCATTGGCACAGGATGCCGTTGCACACTATTGCACATGTCACTGCAGATTTCTGTCTGGCATGCTTACTAAGCGTCTTAGCCCGTGTATATTCCCGAACGGCTGTATCGATGCATCCTGAGCAGCCCTCGGAGTTGGACTTGTGATATGTTGTGATCCCACATGGCACATGTAACTGGTGCTTCTGACTTGCTCTCGCAAACAGCGATGGGCAGACTTCGTCCGTGTCTGTTAAGTAGTTACTGTTGCAGCACTCACAACCTCATGCGAGTGGGAACCTTCATGGCATTTTCGTTGGAGTCAGTATTGTATCTTTTTTCGAATCAGGCCTATATCTTCTACGATGTGGTCGCAAATGCTGTGCCCTGCTTGCTTGGTCATGTTGTTGCAGGGCAAGTGTCGTGGCGTTGAAATCTGAGATTCGTGTTTTGAAGATCCACAGATTCCGCATTCTCAGGAGGAGTATCAGGCCGTGGAGACTCTACAGGAGCATATGTGGTATGCCACTCGGCCTTTTTGCAACGGATGACCTTAGGTCGAGAAGTTGATCGTTTGGGCTTGTGGAGGGCATGGTTCTGATAGTACTCCGAACTTGCAAACAGCCAGCAGCATCCACTTAAGAGAAGCTGGCTGAGCTTACGTAGATGCTCCTTTGTCAAGGTGCGGTCTAAGAAAAAGAAACTGTCAAACGCCTAATTGGAGTTTCCTGCTGGCACAGTCCTTGGATGCAGCACAATGCCAGAGGTCTGTGAGGATGTGAAGTCGCCGCCTTTTTGCGAGGTGAGGCTCGACATGTTCAAGACGCTGGCGTTGTTCAATGGGTCCTTCTCAGCTCACTACAATGCCCCGACCTACTATGCCGAGTTGCAACTAGGCTCCGACTTTGGAAACGAGGTCCCCGCAGCCCTCGCATGTGTTCTTGGCTTTAGGAGGACAGCCAGAATTTCGGCAGGTGTTGCAAAGATTTGGGCCGGCCAACAACGCTGCTCAGATTCATTCCCAGCTCCAGCTGACAGCTCAGGAAAGAGAAAACCTTTGTGAATTACATGAAGGAGACGTGGCAAGCACATCTTTTCGAGGGCAGAATCCTGGGTCTTGCAATGTCCTGCCCTTGTTGCCTCGACAGCCTGTGCATCGTAGGGGGCGCGGTGTAAAGGTTCCACACACTGTGGATCACCACAGCATACCTCAGCAAGGATATCTGTTAGGGCTGCGGTGTACAAGTGGGAAAGCAGTCGAACAAAACGGAGGCACATTCGACAGGAACTTGCGTCAACACTAAATGAAGCGGAGCCCCATACCCTGGTCACACCAACCACACCTCAAGGTGAGCTTTTGGGCCTTCGGCATCGCCACACTTCTCTTCACTGCATTCGGTCTTGCTGGATTCGCCCGGTTTGGCGATGAGGCGTCGGACGGAATCAGAAGTGATTGTAAAGCTTTTGTTTGCACGACTGAGCCTGAGGCGAGAGCGGGAGAGAGAGAGAGAGAGAGAGAGAGCTGAGTGACAGCGAACCGGGCAGCGGGCCGTCGTGGCCGGGGGTCCTTCAGGGCTCTCTTCGCTGGGTAGTAGAAGTAGAAGAAGAAGAAGAAGAAGAAGAAGAAGAAGAAGAAGAAGAAGAAGAAGAAGAAGAAGAAGAAGAAGAAGAAGAAGAAGAAGAAGAAGAAGAAGAAGAAGAAGAAGAAGAAGAAGAGAGAGTGAGTGAGTGAAGGAGTGAGTGAATGAGTGAGAGAGTGAGTGAGTGAGTGAGAGAGTGAGAGAGTGAGAGCATTCAGGTTCACGATTGTTTCTGTGGTCGACGGGTGTGTGGGCTGGGGGGTACAACATAGAAGAGGGTCCAGCAGTTCTTGGGTGTTCAACATAGCAAGGGCTTTTCTCAGTTTCTCGCCGCCGTCGGCACAGCCGGCACTGTTTCCTGGTCGTACTCGTATTCCTTGCTTGGCCGAAGGTGCTGGGCAATGTGCTGAAGAGCCCCGTGGCTGTGCAAGGAGGCAAAGATGAGGCAAAGATGAGGCAGTTGGCAAATGAGCAGTCTGCCATCTTGTGCTGCTTTTCGCATCGAGGCTACAGTCCAGATGATCCCATGATCCAAATCTCGTGGTTTTGTATGATGGATCCTTGCCAGAAGTTCCCAACAGTCCCAACATGGATTGCAGAGGGGGCAGCCCTGTCGGTTCCTCCATTCCTTGCGAGCCGGGTTCTGGCTGAGGTGTCCACAGTCTTCAACTTTCCGCATGCCTTTCAGAACTGAGCTTAGCTGCTGGGGTGTTAGCGGACATGGCGGAGTACCTGAAATGTGGGCTCTTGTTGACACCGCGTGCCTTTGGGTGCGAAGATGGACAGGAGAATGCGTTCTTCCTTCAACGCGCTGATCGACAAGGGCCCTGAGGATGGCAATGCAGGGCGTTTGGGATGCGGCAATGCTGGGACTACGAGGGTTGCTAAGAGGAATGAGGAGTCCATCATGAGAGTCATGGCTCGCAATGTTCTTTCGCTCTGCAGGACAACTTCTTGGCGACGACGATTCTGCTGCTGGGGATCTCCGTGTATATGGGTGTGGCATTCAAGGACATCGCCGTGATCAAAATGATCAAAGGCCGGACGTGCCTTGAGGCGCGTGTCTAACAGCTTCTAGCGGCTGGTGCTTCGCATGAGGTGCCACCCTTGGCGTGTCCATCATGTCGCTACTGCTGCACTTGGTAGGCTTCTGTCATGTACATCCTCGGACCAACCAGCTAGTTAAAAGGTTCACGCACGAGAAGTGTGAAGATCATCTTGCACCAGGTTCATCTTCCCGGCGCTCTTCTTCTTGCACCTGAACCAACCCATCCAGATGAGACGCAAATGCAACTTGCATTTTCACGCATTTCTGCACACACACACACACGCACGCACGCACGCACGCACGCACGCACGCACGCACGCACGCACACACACCACGGGTAAAGACACCAGGCGCCAGGCGTGGTGTCGCGTGACTCTTCTGGGCACCCGAGGCAGTGGTGACGTGAACGATCCCAACAGCAAGTTCCGCAGAAGAAAGCGAGGCAACTGGTTGCGAGTCCTTTGCGTACCTTGGCAAGACCGTATCAATTTGCCAGTGATGCATAAGAAATCTTTCATGGCTGTCAAACCAAGAGATGTTGTGTTTAGCCGCGCAAAACTCCGCCGAGCCGAGGTGATCATGATTATCACCGGTGTCGTGCAAGGTGCGCTTGCACTGTTGGTGCACTACAAAGTTATTTGAGGACAAGTTTCTGACTGCGGCCGCGATGTGAGAGCACATCGCCTGTCGACTCTCTGGACACTTTTTTGACACTTGCGCAAGTGTGCATGGCAAGTATGGCTCGCAGCCTGGATTCAAGCTTCAGGTTGAATTCAAGGCATGATGTAGCTGGACTAGACTACCACTTGGCTTGCACGCGCGTGCCTTTGCTGCTCCTTTGCTCCTGACGGCGCAACCTGCTGAGTGAGCAAATAATCTTGGCATAGCTTGGAGATGAGACTCCCGCATCTCAGGCAGCTCCCAAGTGTGGCCAACGTGGGAACACTGTGGGAACATTCTAGGTGGGAACGTTCTATAGGAGCACATAGAAGCATTGGGACTCCGCACGGCCAACACAAGGTGTGATGTCTGGAGCCGTACCTCGGGGTGCCTCATGGCCAATGCACCTGTAGATGTGTGACCTTGTGTGACTTTGCTGGCCACGAGACACTTCGGGGTCTGGTGATGACTGGTTGCAATTGGTTGTGGTAGCGGCGAGCTACTGACTCGTTTTTGGGCCTGGGACCAGAGAAGCTCGCTTGCTTCAATCTTGGCCTTGGCTGGCGGAGTTTGCCACGCCAAGAGGCGAGACTGAACTAAGCAAGGAACAGATCGCCGAGCTATTCGGAAGGCGCTGAGACCGCTACAATGCGTGAGGCTCTGCCAGCACTGCGCCTTAGGAATAGGACAGCAGCAGTCTCAGCTGCAAGCTAGTCCTTGCACGAAGCTTTCTGGGTTGTCAAATCCGGCTCCTTTACATGCACTATCCCTTGCTGCATTCTCGCGGGTCTATTGCTCCGGTTGCGGCCCCTCTCAGCCTCTCAGGATCAAACGTTGGCTTCTCGAGATGAAGCATGAGGACGGTTGAATGCCTGGTGCACTGCCCGTTTCATGCTGATGGGCTGAACCCTGCACAGGAGGTGGACCTTGTGAAGTTTCACCAGTTCGCCAGGACCTACTTCAGCACCTCGCCATGTGTCCATGAGTTATAGACATGTGTCGGAGTTCGCATTGCCTATGAGTGCGGGTTCGGTATTACCAACACATGACACACTGCACCGAGTCGGCCTTGGGCTCAGCTCTTGCCATGCGCCCTGATCTGCCACTCAGAAACTGTAGTGTCGTCTGAAACTGCGCCAAGTTCTCCCAGAATCACTTCTTGCATCGATGCCCAGAAATGCAAAGCATCACCCTCCAAAGGCCATGCTGGCCTCCGCAGACACTGCCACTGTCCTCCATCCCATCGTTCGCGACAACCACGTAAAAACAGTACCAAACATGGTCCATGCATGTCGGTTCGCAGAGGCAAAGGCTCGCGGCCATCGGGACGCTCCTCACCGAGGTCTGCCGACCTTTGGCTCTAACTCCTGCCCCCAAAGAAGACAGTCTTGTTCCCAACATCTACTTCTGCCGGTGTGATACGGACAGGAATCACGAGCCTCGCTTGAGCAGGGCAGCGCTGGCGCCGGCATCCAAGATGTCCGGGCGCTGTTTGTGCTTTGCTTGCCGCGTCGTGCTGCAGAATTCTGATCTACAGCAGTCTGCTTACCCGGCAGTAGGGTACCCTCCTTATTAACTTTCTTTGTTTCCATTGCCCCATGTACCTCGGGGGGAGGGGGTGAGCCAGGGTATGCTAAGTTTCTCAATCGGTTTTTAAAGAGAGTACGCCATACCACTAGGCCTGTCATCGGGAGTACATAGAGGGAGGAGCGGTCGGTCAAGAGCTGACCAAAGCCTTGTTTTTTGAGCCCATAGGCATTTGCGAAGCCAAAAATAGGGCTGTCGATCATCGGGCATACACTGTGAAACCGGGTCGCACACACAGGGCCATTCTTGCAGGCTCCCTTGGGGCAGAATGTTAAGTTTCTGGCCCACCCACACCAGGGTACTCTTCGTTTCTTACCAGTAGCTAAAAGGCAACCGCACTTCCAAAATCCCTGGACCGGTTTTGTTTCTGATGTGATGGTTTCTTGCGGTGTCCCGTATCAAATCGGGAATGTGCTGAGGCTGAAAGCTGTTCTTCAGAACGTCAGCTCGAAGCGTCTGGCAGAAGGTGTAACTCGTGAAGCTCGTATGGCAGATGTTGCATCTGAAGACGTTGTTGAACCATGTTAGCCTAGCGGAATTGTGCTTATCACTTGACATTCTCATGCACCTCATCCGAGTGCAGTCTTGAACCTCTTCAGTAGGCCTGGTGCAAGAGCATGCAAGAGCCTCAGAGCCGGTGCGGTCAGCCCACAGGATTCAACAAATGGCACGGCAGTCTCGCGTCGGTGGCAGCCTCAGGATCTTCCCGCATTGGTATTGGCACATTGGCATGACGTTGGATTGAGTTGGACCTTTGCTCGTGCAGCCGTCCCCACAGGCTCCGATCGAGAGACCGTGCAGAGCTCAGAGGAAGGAGTGACGAATGCCTCTGTCAGAGGCCGTCAAGATCACATGTCCGGATTAGAGGGCACTCATAGAGCATCTGAGAGACCAGTTGTTCTGCTTAGTTGAGCTCGCAGCCCCTTTTGGCCAACAGAGCCTAGCTCCACGTCGCTGCAGCTGTCCGCGAAGTCCGTGAGACATGGTGGAGGCAGGGAGTGGGCAGTGGCCGACAAAGGGAAAGCAAAGGCGGAAGGCTGGTGGATGACATCTGATGACATCTCTGAACAGGTTGACAATCGTAGGGCAGTTGCCCTACAGGAGCGAAATGACGACAGCGCCAACGATGCAAAAGGGGAGGGACTAGTAACGTTGCTGGACCAGGGTGTTCTCGAGAGAAAAAGCCCGGCATTTCGCAAATCTTCACCTTTCGTCGGTACCTGCTCTGCGCCGTCCCAAAGGTGGAATGGTGGCCTCCAAGTCCATGGAAAATCTCTCCTTCGGTGGAGTGGCTGCCGTGTACCCGCAGGCAGAAGCCGGCCCACACCCCAGAACTTCCAACAACTGCCCGATGTGCAGGCAAAGATGCCCAAGAAGTACCGCACGCCTGGCAAAGGCGAAGTCAGCACCTACCAAGGTCACGAACCTAGTCATGACATCACATCTTTACGGTTCAGAGAGCCCAGTACTGCTTTTGGCTGCTTTTGGCTCTTGCGAAGTGCGAAGGAGCTGGAGTCCTCCCAGTGACAAGGCTGGAAGACGGCCCTGACCTCAGCCTCAGCTTCCCGGTAAACCTGGTCTCCCCCTTCCGCTGACAGCAATGGCAACTGCCCAAGGAGGCTCTCGAAACTGAAAGCTCTTAGGCCAGGCACGTGTCCTTCTTTGGCAGCCGCAGAGCGGGAAGAAGAAGGGCGTGCGATGGTATGACTTCGGGGGCCGGAAGAAGTTCCCGGAAGAGTTTGCAAGCACTTGTGCCTAGTCGTGGTTTGGGTATGCTTGGGTGGACGTATGCACATGAAGGGGCGGGGTCGGTCAGCGGTTGCATTCTGAGGCGCATGCCGAAAGTTCGCCAAGGAGACCTATGGCTTGTTTGGGTGCGTGGCTTGCCTCCTTTTGATACTGTAAGGCAGCGAAAAGCCTGAGTCTCAGCTCTCAGAAGAGTATGGGTGTGCATGGTGTGCCAAGGCCTTGAAGCTGGAGGGCGACAGCGCGCCAGCTCAGCTCCGAGAGTTGTACCAAGCAGGGCGCCCAGGACCGGGAACGTTAAACGAAGGTTTGCTGCAAGAATGCTCTGCGATCTCCAGCCCTTGGCCCATCTAAGGGCCTGGCCAACCTGCCGCTCATGCTCAGAGCGAGCGAGGTCGTGAACATGATTTTACGTAAATTTAAAACGTGATCCAAGGATTTTTTTTAAGGGTTCGAGCCTCAGCAACAGCCTTGAAGGAGTGGGCTCACTTGCAGCTGCTCGATGATGGACCACGGCTCTTCTACAACGACATTCACGAGTACTTCCTGTACATGCTTTGTGTGCCGTATGTTCCCGAGGACATCAAAGCTTCATGCCCACAAACTCATTCTCAAACAGCAAGCCAAGCCAACCTATCCAAGTCCAAAATTCCTGAAAGTGCTTCCCCACCACGTTTTCGCGACATGGAATACTGCAAACCTAGGCAGGAGCGCGATATTCAGTGCAGAATGTGCAAGGGACCTAGGCGAGCTCGCGATTTGGCCCCTGCTGCAAGTGCCATTTGCGATTTTCGGACACATCTTGATGCTCGTGGGCCTTCAAATGCGCCTGGCACCTAAGCGAGTGTGTGAGTCATGGACACGCGGAGTTATCGTTCGCCCTTTGAAAGGGAGTACTGCGTAGTTCATACACATCATTTCTTTGTTCTGCAAAGTCTGCTGCCTGAGCCTATGCAGTGCGAGATTCGTGTTACCCGTAGAGTCGCCGATGTTCGTGCGCATTTGAAGAAGTTTTTTTTCGGAGTTGCAGCTTGTTGCGTTGTTGTCACGCAAAATCTCAACCATTTCCCTTGTGGCACGAAGACGATGCAGCCTATGCGAACCATACTGGTAGACCGGAAAGCAGGAAAAACACACAGTGGCTTTCAAGACTGCATCCAGAGTTCATCAAGCCAACGTCCGGCATTTGACACAGGACGTCCTCAACGAGGTGTCCAAGATAGTCGATGACCGCAAGCGTGTTTTCAGGCGCCGGCTCTGCCAGTTAAGCTGACGCTTTGTGACAAGCTTTCGGTGGGAAGGTGGATGACCATGGAGGAGCTTGCGCAAGAAGTGATGGCTCCAAGACTTCATACAGCGAGCTTGGCAGAGGCTCGGCTTCCTCACTCCCCCCCAGAGGCCGCTCGCTACGGAAGACGCAAGTCCCTGCAGGCGCTCGAGACTCTCCAAGAGGACCCTTTGGTTCTGACCAGCCGTGCCTATGGTAGTGCCGCCAGCAACGTAGCAACAGGGAGCTTCACAGCGGCCGTGGTGCGATGAGGCATGACGAGGCTGGCCCGAGGATCTCTGAGAATCAGGGTCCCGGTGCTGGTGCCACGCCATAGATCTGGCGACCTTGCACAAGGATTGACCGTTGTTCCACAAAACTTGGCTGTACCTCAATCCAGAGATGTAGTCAGCAAGGCCTGGATCAGGCAGAATTTGCCATGCAGCTCTTGTTCTTTTTGGTTGCAGTCTCCCAACGTCACCGATGGCTCGAAGAGCATGCATTTGGTGCGTTGGTTGTCAGGGATTGGGCGTCCACCGCCCTACGAGAGTAACAGACATGGTTCATGTTTTGTCGCTGCAGTTGGGCCGAAGCGAGATCATCACATAGATCCTGCCAGACGACGGATAGCTGCTGTGGATTGAGTTGGGTAAAGGAAGCACCTTTTCAAGCAAACTATAGCAACTAGACGTTGCTGCGAGATGCTATCTCCTTGGATCTCCTTGGCCTTGCAAGTGTGTGTTTGCACTTGCTGGAGCGAAGCTAGTTTTTGACAAGCCCCCTTCCGAGAAGGCGTGGGCCACACACAGGCTGCGAAGCAGCAACGTGAGGAGGGATACCTAAGCCGAGCAAGCAGATGCCAAACAAGATCAGTTTGCAGACTGCCAAGGAGCTTGCGAAAGACTGCAGCACATGAAACACGGAAGCACGAGTTCGTGTTGCTCACTTCGCTTGCCCAACAGGTCGGGCATCTTGAAAGAGTTGCTGAAGTCTCAGGTCCAGTGCGCCGTGCCTGCCCCAGACTCCCGCTGGAGTCCACGAACGCTATGACCGCAATGTCAATGGGAGTCAATGTGGAGTCATTGCTTCTGTCATTACTTCTGGCAGGTTCGCCTGGAAAGCCGCGTTCGCTTGGCGAACCGTGCTGGTGGCATCGCTTTCTGCATGCACCCCGGAAGCTAAAAGCTGCAAAGCTTAACCTCAGCAATTGCTGCAAAAAAGAAGACGCACACGGCTCACAGATGGCCTTACCACTCTGTGGTCGAAGCCACAATGCCTGCACTCCAAGCTGGCTGTAGGGCTTTCCTTCCTGATGTCAGACGTTGCACTTGGAGTTCCCGAGTTCATCCTCAGAAGACGAAGACACCAAGTTGCATCCAAACCCCGGTCCGGCCGCAGAAGCACCGTAGCGGAGCTTGAGACTTGCACCATGGCAGCGCATGGACAGCGCTGGCCAAGCGAGGCCGCAATCCAGGCGGATCTTTCGAACAGTTGAGGGTCACCACATAGTCACCTGAGATATCCTGAGATCAGAATCTCCCAGATCATGAGATCGCTTTCGCAAAGTGGCAGGCCAGCGCTCGCGGAGCGAACAGGTCATGTGGCCGCCCTGGCGCGGCGCTCAAGCTGGCAGCGGGCCGTGGCCTTGGCAGCGGAGATTCCAGCCACTCGGACTCCTGATCGGGCGAATGCCCAGAGTTGCCAGCGCTGCATATTGCTCATTATTGCTCTTTATGTTGCTTCTCCTGTATATTGCTCTTTGCTTCTGCTCGAGGGTGTGGTCAACATTGGCCAGCATTGACTGCCAGAGGCAGAGCTTCGCGATGCGCGGCTCCAGGATGCCGCCCTGGCAGCCTTTTCACGCTCACGCCGCTGGCGCGAAGCACGCGTGGCTGCACCAGACACATCTTGCTACTAGTAAGGCGCGCGAAAGAGCGGAGAGTCTAACAGTCTATCCTCGCCATGACGTTGTCGTTTCTCAGCGAAACTGATGCCGAGCAGACTTTGATTTGGGGGCTGCTGGGCTTCTGAGTTTCCTTTGTTTGGCCACTGGTTCTCGGTTCCGTTGATGGCCGGCTTGGATTCAGCGTGTCTTTTTCGAGCTCCACAACTCACACGAAAGGTTCTCAGGTTGAGTGCGAGGCATCCCATGATTCAGATTGATTCATCAACTGCCAAAGCTGAACCAGTCCAGTTTTAATGCTATGCACTGCATCGCGAATCAACTTTTGATGCCGATGTTGAAGCGGAAGATCTACGGATCGAATGGCAAAAGAGGACCAGCCAAAGTTTTCGATTCACACTTTGTCCAAACGATGGTGTGAGCGAAGACTCTGTGAGGTTTTGGGACTTGTGCCGCTGAGCCCAAGCACCAGCAGCAACTGGATGGCACTTGGGATGGGGCTTCACTGGCATGCATCCACATCACAGTGGGAAGCACAACGCCTGAAAGTGTCTCCGTTCTCTTCCGTCTGCAGAAACTCTCCAGAAAGACACGGCACAGGCTGCAACGTGGCTTTGGCTGCCTGCCAGCGTGCACGAAGATGGAAATTGGCCCTGCACCTCGCTCAGGCTGGAGCTTGGAAAAGTTGCTTCTTCTGCGACTCGAGTTGTCACCTCTGAAAGGTTCCCCAGTTCTTGTTTTTTTAGTTTCTTCTTTGCAGTCCAGGTGCCAAGTTGTCCCGACCTTCAGACATACAATGCTGCCATTGCAGCCTACAGCGCCGCGCCGGCCGAAAGCGCCGCGGCCTTGGCACAACCCGGATCTGGGAAGCTTGTTCCAAGCTGGGCTAGGCCCAATGGCTATTACGAAACATGGCTCGAAACATTCGATGTGCGTAGATGCTGGACTCGACGTCAACGGAGCCATGCGTGTCGATGTCCTCGCTGACGTACTTTCAAGCCAAAAGTAAAAAGCATGGAGGACAACTAACTACTGGGAGAGTCTCGCGCCCATGGTCTTGTTTTGCTCAATTCGTTCATAATCTTCCTGGTTCCCACTATTGTATCATATAACTGCAAGTGCCCTTCTGCAATTGCAAACTGCTGTGCCAGCTTGCGTCTTCATGTCTAGAGTCTAGAGTCTCGAAAGTTCTGGAAGAACTAAGAAAGTTTCGCTTCTGCCATGCAACTGACACTCTGCGACTTCATTGCCCAATCAAAACAACACCAGGATGTACATCTCTTCTGGGGAGGGTTGGTAATTAACAAGGCCCGTTCTTCTTGCGACAAGCCTCCGCGACACGCCCGTCCTTGCAACCATCTTGCATTTGGGAGCCCGCGACAAGCCTGCGACATAGGTATGCAAACGTGCGTAACGGAGGCGGGGGCGGGACACGGAGACACAAGTGTTCGCATCTGTCTATCGCTCTCTCTCTTTCTCTTTCTCTCTCTCCCTCTCCTTCTCCCTTCCCCTGTATATCCGTAAAATATGTGTACATGTGTGTACACTGTTAAATCAACATTTATACCTTTTTTGTTTCGTTTTTTTTAACAATAAATTTGTTTGTATCTCTTGGCAGGGCCATGCCCAGGAAGTTCTGCCCTAATTTTCCTGTCACCACCACTCCCATCACTCCCCCGCTCTTGGTGTGTGCTGCATGCTCCCCTCTCTCTCTCTCCCTCTCTCGTTTCCTCCACCTCTCCTTCTTCTCCATCAGTTCTCCATCCCTTTTCCTTCTAAGGCCGGTGCTGCGGCATTGGTCGCCGCGCTCCGGGCCGAAGGCTACCAGCCAGACCAGGTGGCTTGTGACAAGAAAGCTGGACCCTTCCTCAATTTGCATTCGTCGAATTCCAGGTGACCTACAACAGCTGGGCAAAGGCAGCTCGTTTTGGATCATGTTGCTTTCGGCTGATCTCGTGTCGTTTTGGTGAGTTGGCTTGTTGGATTGCTGAGTGCATCGCTGCTTGAAACAATGCAACGTGCACATCACATCTGACATGTCAGGCATGCGCTCGCTCAGATGGGTGGCAAGCAGCTGTTCGAGTGGTCTTCCAAGAGGCTGACAAGGCATGCCAGCTCCATGCCCATCCGACCTCTTGCATCACAGGGAGAGAGGAGTTGCAGCAGTCCGAGGGTGACGAAAGAATCGGTGTTGCTCCAGAGGCTGCGTTGACTGCCTTGCCAGTGGCAGGTGGATGCAGTGGCTGCCACAGCTGCTGCATCAGCTGTGTCAGGTCGTTGGAGGTCCGCTTTGGCATGTGTCTGCGGCTTAAAGCTCAGAGGCAGCCAGAGTGCAGCTTGTCAGCACCAATGAGCTGAATGCCTTGTACCATATTGTTCCAAGGCGCTTTAGCCTTGGTTGTAGAAAAAAGCCCTGAGAGGACACCACGCTTCTGAATACAGCCATTAGCTCCTGCTCCACAGCCACACTGTGGCAGCCGGCGCTTCAGATCCTTCAAGATCTGGTGTGCCCAAGCCCCTCGGTTTGACACCATTATCGTGCTTTGAAGCTGCTTAAGGGAATCATGGACGTGCCTCAGGCGGCTTGCATCACCCAGACATTGTGACTTGCAACACCGCACCTTCGACGCAGCAAGGGCTAGCTTAGCAACGCGTTTGAAGGTTTAGAGGAAGGGTGGATAAATGTGAATGTTTGCGGTCTTCCGATCAGGAGAAGCAACACCAGATGAATAGGAGCGGCAACACTGACAGAGCTGAGAAAGGGAAAACACGAGGGATGTCGGCCACGGGGTCCTTGCACCAGGAAGGCTGTCACATAAGTCTAACAACATGATCAAAAAATCGTTTGTGCTTGATCACAGTATATGTACTACATGCATATCATCGCATATACGATGTCACGTGTCTGTACGTGAATCTACACATTACATATGCAGAATGTTGCCCTGTGGGTCCACTATGCGGATCGACAGGTTCAGAGTCTGCACAGCTCGGTTTGTGTTCCTGGCTCAGGTCATTACAGCTTGCGGCCGCGGTGAGCAGGCTTTATGACCCGAAGCCCCCCAAACCTATCTACAGCATGGTCGCGGGCGCTTCCTTTCTCGCTCAACTGTTTGTGGGCTACCAGGCGATATTAGGTCCTAGGTGCGACATTCGGCGTCCAGAGTTGCAGCTGTATGGTTTCAGTTTTCCGGACTTCCGGACTGTCCTGCTATATAAGAAAGAACTTTGCATCGCGTGTTTGATCCAGACCGAAGAGTCTTGCCTCGAACAGTCAGGTCTGTAGAGCATCATGATGGGGTTTGAGTCGAGGATTGTTTTCGGTACTCCGTGCTAGGTCGTGTTTTGCTGTGTCTGCTATGCTGCAAAAGTAGCCGCAAGGGCGTCGCAATCGGGATTAGAGTGTGGTTGCCTTTTGCCCATGTGGGTGCCTTGGGGCCGGCACCGGTTTGCCTTCTTCCGAGGGCTCTCGCGTCATGAAGCTTCTGGCCGCACTGGAAAACTGGCAGCATTCTCAGTTCCAGTTGGTCCAATGCTGTTGCTGCAAGGGTGTGGAGGGAGTGGTGGGAGCTGTTGTTCCACCAGGTCATTAAAAGCAAATCAGATCACCCTGAACTCGCTACTGAGCGCCTGCGATGGAAGAGGACCATCCCCTTCCGTCAACATGGAAATTGGCAGGTCGCATGTGGTAGGATGGTTTAAGCAAGCGTCCTGCTGCTAATTGTGCTTCTTAATCTCTGGATGTGACAGTTCGATCTGAGGGAAAGATGTTTGAAGTCCAAGATGTGACAGCGCAATGAACAGCACATGTCCAACGATTCGGGGAGCGGGCCGCACGCATGCGATCTTTTCGACTCTAGGGCTTCTCCTCTGTCGGAGGAGACTGGGTGATGGCCATGAGTTTGCTGCAGAGACAAAGCCGGCGTAGCGTGAAAGCAGTTCGGGCCTCAGGCCAAAAAAGGGGTTAGCAGGCATGCGAAGATGGCAGTCGTGTTCCATCATGCCATGGCCCAAGCAGAGGATACAGCATCACTGACCGCCTGCCTGGGTGCCACAGGGCGCAGCTCACAGTGGGTGGCTGCTCAAGCGTCGCCTGGTACGAGACTTCAGTGGACTCTTCACATCGTTTCACGCTGGTTCAAAGTGGTTGCGTGCCTTGCGGGGCTCCCCTGATGCAGTTCGCTGCGTAGATCGCACACCTCCGTGCTTTGCAGACCTCGACGCTGTTGGATACAGGGTGCAGGCAAAGCATAGCGGCGTATTCCCTCTGATCCACCAGACCCCCTGGAAGAAGCACAAACCCTTCCGAGGGCTACATGTGAGTTTCCAACACAGTGGAGTGCAAAGCAGATTCACCACGAGGCATGAGCCCGTGCTTTCAGCGGCCATAAGCTGTGGCTTTGAAGGCTTGAAGCTTTGACATGGCAGGTTCGGCATTGCCAATGCACGGCTTGTTAGACTTCAGCAACCATATCTACCACCAGAGTCACTGATGTGAGGCTTGCAATTCATAGTTCAGCCTGGCTGAAAAGCCTCATTGACTTCGTGGCTGGACGAAGCCCAAGCACCCAAAGAGATACTCAGGCTGTTGGCATCCTCCAATTGCGCTGGACTGCGCGGCGACCGGCACGCAGAGCCTCAGCACTCGAAGCAAGCCCGCCACTGCATGAACGACCTGCGGTGCGCTAGCATGTCAACTTACAGTGGCAAACAGTGTTGCGTAGCGCGGGTAGAGAAAAGTCGCAAACCCTGTCCAGGGTAGTTCTCTAAGTTCTTCCATGACCAGACGCGCTTCCTTCCCACAAACGCTGATGCTGAGGTAAGCGTTGGTGTTCTTGCAGGCAGCCGGGGCTTTGCTTGGAACAGCGCCGCTGGGTGTTTACATCGTCTCACTTGGTACAGCTTCCTGTGTGCGACATTCTGTAGCACCCCACTTCGCAGAGCAGTGTCAATGGCATAGCTCGAACGCCCATGTCTCATCATCCTTCCCCAGCCTAGGCTTTGCTCTACGTGACTGACATTGGCACCGCTGTGCTGGATTGGACGGGTCACTGGGAAGCTGCTGCTGTGCTCTGGGAGTTCTTCGGCTCCAAAGGCATCAAAGGGAGAGTTCCATGTTGTAGTTCACAGCAGGGGCAGCAGTCGAGCCCCTTGTGAAAAAGTTCACAGCAGGGGACGTGCGGGCTTGCTGGAGACGTACAATCTTGCTGGAGGGCCTTGAGAAGCAAGGGTTGCAGGTCAGAGCAAGCTGTAGGCCTTGGGTGCACTTGTTTGTTTGGGGCGGGTGTGCACTTGTTGACAAAGGTGGAGCTTGGGAGGGAGGGTCTCCCTTGACCGGCCCACAAGTTACGTCCCCTCATTGGCACCGATGCCCCCCCAATCTTCGGCAGCTTAGCCAAGCAGGGTTGGAGCGGGGTGGGCACGGTGTTTGGGAGACCAGATCCGGTCTTGTTCCAGATGCCGGTGGGAGGTCGAGGTGATTTATTCCATCCGCTGACCAGGAGTGCTCGATCAAGGATGGAACACGAAGAAAGGATGGAATCAACAGAGCCTGTGACCCCAGTCCATCTGTGCGCAGGTATGGAAAGCTCCACAGACGCTTCCAATTCTGCCGCTGGCTTGCATAAGAGTGTCACAGTGTCACGAAACGAGAACAGACATGCCGCGCGAGATGACGCAGGTCCTTGGTGCTCACAGAGCACAGTGGCCGCGGGCGCTGCACCACTTGCACGCTGCGCGGAGGCTTCGCCTGGCGGACCAGGCGACTCGTGAAATGCCCTGAATCAAGGTCGCGGCCAGGTGGATACACGCACCAAAGGGGAATCCTCAGCCATCCCCTGAGGCCTCCTTCAATGCTGCTATGAGCACATGTTGTGGAACCCGCTGCTGGGCCGCAACTTCACAGGAAGCTTGAGTTGCCATGGTCCTGACTTCAACAGACATTGCGCCGCTTCGGCACTCCACACTTGCCTTCCACTGCTCCCTAGGTTCTTGGCACCAGGCACTGTGCCTCGGCAGTCTTCGTGTTAATGCCTTGTTTATGCCTTGTGAAGTGACGGTTGTTGAGGGTGGGCGGGCCGGCGCGCCTTCGCAAGCCCGCGCTCGTGAGGGTTTTATCATGGGTTAATTGTTTCGTGGGTGGCTCCATGCCTTGAAGTCTCGAAAGCGAGGCTGTGCAAACGAAACTTTGCTGCAGAGGTGCTTGTTCCAGTTTGCTTGGAAAACTTACAAACAAACGTGACCTTTTCATGCGCTTTCATCCGCAGGGCGTCTCAATGCAACGCTCGCGCCTAGGCGAAACGCTCGAAGTGAAAAGCGCGCGCATGCTTGAGTTTTTTCCACATGCACAAACCTGTGGCGTTGCGCAAGAATCTAGATTTCGGAACGTGGCTTTATCCAGTTCCAGGATCCACCTTTCCATGGTGACAAACGCAAGGCTGCGCACGAACATGCGTTCCATCTAGGAGAAGACTAGGAGAAGACGTCATTTTGGAGCATTCGCGGTGCTGGCAGTGAGTGGACTTGGGCGGGTTTTGAAGCAGTCGTCCCAGTGGTTGTGCACATATGTAAAGATGAGCCACGGAAGTGATTCATGAATCCTTGCTGACACTTGCTGCAGCGAAGGTTGTTTGCCAGTTTTCTACGCCACCCGTTGAATTAGCGGCATGCACCGGCCGTCGCTCGAGGTCCGAGTACGATCCTGAACTGTCGCTTCGAACGAATCCTCTCCCTCCGATGACGGTCCCGATTCTTCATACACTGTCATTTTCATGCATGTCCAGAAAGACAGGGTCGTACAAGTCACACGTCGTACGAGCTTGCATCATCGGGAGCCGTCCCGCTTCCTACAAACTCTCCACGACAGGCTTTCTGGTTCTTGAACGGTACGTGATCCCTAATCACGGCTGTGTCACGGGCTATGTAAACTGATCTAGAGCAGGGCGGATTTTCCGTTGCCCAATTACACCAGCGAAGACCCCAAACAGTTAAGAGTGGAATGGCATGTTCGCAAACTGAGGGGTGGATGTTGGGCCAACGTCCACACTCGAGGGACACCATCCACGCTTGAGGGGTGGATGTCGGGCCAGCATCCACGCTTGAGGGGTGGATGTTGGGTCAACATCCACGCTTGAGGGGTGGATGTGGGCCAACATCCAGCATCCACGCTTGACGGCCAACATCCATGCTTGAGGGGTGGATGTTGGGCCAACGTCCACGCTGGAGGGGTGGATGTTGGGCCAACATGTTGAGCCAACATCTGCCTGAGGCATGGATGTTGGGCAAACGTCCACGCTTGAGGGGTGGATGTTGGGCCAACATCCACCCTTCAGGGGTGGATGTTGAGGGGTGGATGTTGGGCCAACGTCCACGCTTCAGAGGTGGATGTTGGGCCAACATCCACGCTTGAGGGGGTGGATGTCCAACATCCACGCTTGAGGGGTGGATGTTGGGGCCAGCGTCTATGCTTGAGGGGTGGATATTAGGTCAACATCCACGCTTGAGGGGTGGATGTTGGGCCAACATCCACCCTTCAGGGGTGGATGTTGAAGGGTGGATGTTGGGCCAACGTCCACGCTTCAGAGGTGGATGTTGGGCCAACATCCACGCTTGAGGGGGTGGATGTCCAACATCCACGCTTGAGGGGTGGATGTTGGGGCCAGCGTCTATGCTTGAGGGGTGGATATTAGGTCAACATCCACGCTTGAGGGGTGAATGTTGGGCCAACGTCTATGCTTGAGGGGTGGATGTTGGGCCAACATCCGCTTCAAGAGTGGATGTTGGGCCAACATCCATGCTCCGGCCGAGGCCACCCACATGAAGAGAGACAAAGGGAGACAAGCAGGGGACCCGGCCGAGGCGACACGAAGGGAGACAAAAGGACAAGCAAAGACAAGCCAGGATCGACTAACCCATGTCCAATTGCTGTTCACATGGAGCCCTTCTCCACTTCAGCCTTCAAAGTTCTCACTTGAATATTTGCTACTACCACCAAAATCTGCACCAGAGAATGTTTCGCTTGCGCCAGAAGCTGCACCACAACCTCTGCGCCCTCCTGCCCAGGAACCCGGCGGAGGCCACCCACAAGAAGGGAGACAAAGGGAGACAACTGGGGACCCGGATGCAGGGAGACAAAGGGAGGCAAGCAAAAGCCCGGGAACACGGCCGAGGCACCCACATGAAGGGAGACAAAGGGAGACAAGCACCACCCACGTGAAGAGAGACAAGGGGAGAGGAGCAGAGACAAGCAGCCGGGGACCCGGCCGAGGCTACCCACATGAAGGGAGACAAAGGGAGACGTGTGGGAGACTTGCCACGCGGGGACCCGGCCGGCGCATCCGGCTAGGTCGGAATTCTCAGACAGAAACAGGAACCCCTACAGTAAACTGTTGGGAAACACTCGCCTCCTAATTGTGAGTCTGAAGTGAAATCAGGTGCTGGCTCGATGAGTCACATCATCGCCTCGTGACGATCAAGGAGGATGTCATGGTGGGGTTCAATACTGCCATGTCGACTCTTGGTTTGTTTGAGTGATTGATTTGCCTATGCCTGTCTTGCAAAGTTCATCATTGCAGCAAGTGTTTAATTTGAGGTGTTGTGAAAGCATTGTGACTTGGACAAGAAGCCTGGACTTGCTGAACGCACTCCTCGAGGCAGAACTCATGCATCGAGACACTGCCCCCAGACTGTGCCCTTACATCCCCTTAACCCGGTGCTGTGAGATCTGTGAGGCAGCAGCGCAGCCAGATCAGAAGAGCTACCGCTCCCCGATTCGCATGGCCGGCTGTGGCTCAAGTAGCTTGGCATGTAGTAGACCGGACCTACTTTATCATGTGGCTATGTCTCCTCAAGGTGATGCTTTGGATGTTTGGCCAACACATAAGAACGCATTCATGCACTTTCATGCCAAGGCTGGGAATTGGCAGCAAAACTGTGCGCTGAGATGTTGGGACGATACCAGCTGGCATTAAAGAATCCATTCCGGTGCCAACCGACGCTACCAGTTTCGGGCGGAACTTCCAAGAAGCATCGGTTCACTCGAACTTGGTTTCTGCAGCTTTGGGGATCAAGTAGTCGGGAGCTTCAAGGCGGGCAGTGGGAGAGAGCCTCATCCAAACACGCACGGGCGTACACAGTCCTTGGTTCTAGGCACTACTTGCAGGACCACAATTAAACTCAATGGGGCCTCTGCCGGCATATGCGCGCAACCGCCACCCGTGCCAAAAACATGAGTCGGGCTCTAACTTTTGCACCCGCACTCCGTACTCTGGCCATCCGAGGCCGCGTGCTTGACGGCGACGCCTCGGCGCTCAGCGCAGCGGTTTGGGCTGCGGAAGCTGCGGAGGTCCCAGTCGCGCTCGCAAGAGGCTGGTCGCAAGAGGCTGGAGCGGCAAGGGGATTCGGGGGGATGGTAGAGAACAGAATCAACGTTAATCAACGCCCGGACCATGCCCAGGACGGTGCAAGCAGATGGTGCGGTCACAAAAGCGAGCGCTGCACTGCACAGAGCCAATGTATTACATGATACGTCTTGACAGTCTTGGCATTACATGGCGCAATGGTGCTGGCTGTTGCTTGTACCACGGTAACGCTGCCAAGGCCTGGCTAAGCTCCAGCGAAAGGCGTTGTCGAGAGCCCAGGTCGAAGATGCCGACTTGATTTCGCCGTCACATGTGATCTGGGGGGGGCCTCCTGTTGAGTTTTGAGGCGAGGAGCATGGCGAGAGCTGAGCAAGTCCCATGAAGGAGGTTCCGGGCTTTGTAGGTCGAAGAACTTGTCGTAGGCTTTTGTGAGGCTCGCGTTCTGCGCCTGCCTTAACTCAAAGAAACACGCACACGCACACGCACACGCACGCGCACGCACGCGCGAGCACGCGCGCACACACACACACACACACACACACACACACACCCTCACCCACACCCACACCCACATCCTCACGTCCACACGCCCACACACCCCCACACGCACACACCCCCACACCCACGCGCACACCCGCACACCCCCACACCTACGCACCAACGCACCCACGCACACACCCCCACGCACCCACGCACCCACGCGCGCACCCGCACACCCACGCACCCACGCACCTGCACACCCGCACACCCGCACACCCGCACACCCGCACACCCGCACACCCGCACACCCGCACACCCGCACTCCCGCACTCCCGCACTCCCGCACTCCCCACACCCCACACACCCCACACCCCACACCCACACCCACACTCGCAAGTTCGCGAGCTCGCACTCTCGCACGCACGCTTGCTAGTGCTGCATCAGACCCCACAATGTTTGGGGGCTTTGAAACGACTTAGCGATTTTGAGGGGCTGGAGCCGTTTGGCTGCCATATGCTGCCATCATGTCAATAATGTGTCAGTGTTATATTATATGGTGAGACAGGCGCCCAGGAAAATCCGGCCCGCAGCGGCTTGGCCACAGCCGCGCAGCCCTGCTCTCAGTAGCAGTTGTCATCAACGCCAGGACAAGGGAACATGAATTGCTTGGTCAAGGCTTCTGGTGCAGCTGCATGCTGCGCCCGTGCATGATGCATGCAGTATGGCAGTTTTGATGCAACATGTTGAGGCACTTCTCGGCGGCCTACCCACCTATGGCGCCACCACGACGCTAGCAGCTCGGGGGTCCTGCAAGTGCAGTAATCCATAGTAGTCCTCATGCGAGCATTGTCACAAGCAAGAGCTTGTTCTAATCTTGGTCGAAGCGCAGGAAATCCTGCCCGTGCTACTGTGAGACATGAGTGGCTCTGATGCCTGCGAGTGCTACCAGCACCAAGCCTCTCACGTGGATGTGAAGAGAACTGGCAAGCGATGCTCTTACCCAATGCTTGTGAACGCCAATGCTTACGTAAACTTAACTCGCAAAGATGTGACCCTCAGTCTCGATTGTTGTACAACATTGTACGGGCAGAGCAGCCGATGGACAATTTCCGTGTACATAGTGACCATCACACGCTCGGCTCAATGGCAAAGCACGTTGGCAGGCAGCGTCAAAGACGAAAAAACCGACTGTCACGGTTGCAGCTTCGGGGCTTAGTATGGCTTTACGTAGAAGGGAGCTTAGTTCCACTTGGCGGTCAGCCTAGACACACAACCTTTTCCAATGTCGGCCTCGTGCCTGAACCTCTGTCAGCAAGCATCTTGTGGGACTTTTCTTCTTCTTTTTCCCTCAAGGACCAAAAGCCTTCGCCCGTCTCTACTTCCAACGAGAAACTCAGCACCGGGGTGAGAACACCAGCAGTCACGTTGGGTTACCAGCCTCCAGGGAGTACAAGCTCTGGACACATGGCTGCAACAAGGCTCATTTCGGGCGCATTGTTCCAGGGGTGAGTTCCAGGTCTGAGCTTCAACTTCCGAGAGCGAGTGGGCTCACAAGAAGGTTCCCGCAGAACTGTCTTTGCATTATTTTACTTTTTGTTGTACTGGTGCCATGAAGTCTGTGCGTATGAAGTCTGTGCATTTCTTTTTGGTTTTGTTTCTGGCACCGCATGGTCCAAGCCGAGATCTTGTGCAACAGAGCCAGCTGTAGCCCATGCACAGGTGCGAAATTCGCTTTGCAAGCTACCACGAGTAAGTCCACATGTCTTTAGTTACGATTGCGGGATGGTCCATGTAGGTTGCGGTAACAACTTGCAGCACCATGGTTTAGCTGGCCGCCCGAACCTGACTCACATGGGCCTTGCCCATGGGCCAAGGACTTGACGTGCCGGTGTACAATGCGCTGATCATAGGGAAGTGTTTTGGCAATGTCTGCCTTACTAATAGAAGCCCAGTCTCGTTCGCAGCATGCGAGACCACCCATTGTGGCAAAACGAACCCAGGCTTGGTCGTGCCCAAGCATCTGCAACTCAGTAAGCCCCACCCCACTCATGCCGGGGCTTGTAGCATGCGGCTTTGGAGGAGCTGGCCAGGTTGCGGTTGCGAGCTTGGCTGTCAGGGATCTTGAGCCTAAGGATGATCCTGATCATGATTCGACAGAGGTTTAGAATCTGAATGTCTTGACAAGTCTTGAAGCAGCATTGAACATCATGTCTCGATGATTCTAATTGCTGTTAGTATTACACTATGACTAACACACGACGCTATGATTGCCTCCGCTACCACTACCCAGCTATTCCTAACACGATTACCATGATTACTCCTACCACTATGACTACTACTAACTACTACTACTACTACTACTACTACTACTACTACTACTACTACTACTACTACTACTACTACTACTACTACTACTACTACTACTACTACTACTACTACTACTACTACTACTAATACTACTAATAATACTACTACTACTACTACTACTACTACTACTACTACTACTACTACTACTACTACTACTACTACTACTACTACTACTACTACGACTACTACGGCTACTACGGCTACTACGACTACTACGACTACGACTACGACTACTACGACTACTACGACTTCTGCGACTACTACGACTACTACGACTACTACGACTACTACGACTACTACGACTACTACGACTTCTGCGACTACTACGACTACTACGACTACTACGACTACTACGACTACTGCTAGGCTACTGCGCCCCCAGGCGCCTGGTCGGTTTGCATGTGTGAACACCCGAATTGCATGGTATTTCCCATATATTCGTGCCGACTACGACGACGACGACTACTACGACGACGACGACTACTACTACTGCTGCTACTACTACTGCTACTACTACTACTGCTGCTGCTGCTACTACTACTACTACTACTACTACTACTACTACTACAACTTCTACTTGCAAGGCTGATGAAGGCGATGCCCCAGATGCCTTGCTTGGAACGGAAGCTCGGAACCTGACTGCCGTCTGTATCTTGTTTGTCCAAGCCTTGGCATGCATTTCCTTCCCAGGCTACAGATGCGGTGCCGCAGAGCTATGCGGTTGCAGAGGCCGGCCTTGCAAAAACCAGGTTCTCCGGCCATTCCCTGCAGCCTGCAGGATGCCAAAGAAGAGGGTTCAAAGCCTTCGCAGCCTTTGCGCCGGCAACGCCACTCCGTCGTGCACCTGCTCGATGATGACAGAACACAGCCAGGGACTCGACTTGCAGTGGGGCAACATGAACAGATCCTGCATCGCTCCTGCGTTCCAGAAACAGAATGCCACGCAACTTGCTGATGCCAACTAGGCCAACCACCACACACTTCGCCCAAAGAAAGCCTCCAGGCTGTTGCGGACATGCTTTTGTCCGTGGGCAACGCTGCAAGATGTCCTCAATGCAGATGCTGTGTGCCAGCGACTCAATTACCCGTCGGAGCAGCAGCGACTCCCGGCGAGGGACCGGAGGCACTCATTGCATGTGGGCTATTTTGTAGACGCTGTGGCGTCTTTGCTACTTGACTGTTGAAGTACTGTACTGTAGTGGTGCAGTTCCCAGAAGCACCAGATACACATCACCAATGCGAAGAAGCAAAACACGTCAGCAAGGCAAAACAACCCGCCCGAGGCAAGCGCTGGCACCAGCTGTCCCGAGAGGAGCAGTGGATGGAGATGTCCATCCTCAACGGCCAGGGGCTCGGTTGCTGGGACTCCTTGTGAAGAAGTTACGTGCACTTAGCTCGAAAACCATCCTGATACAAAGATTTTCTCGAGTCCTTCGGAGTCCTTCGTATGTGACCAAGGCGGGGTCTCGGCGAGTTTACGACGAGGCCTTTGGCGACACCTCTCAGCTGTGATGCTCCAAGTCGCAGTAGACAGGAAGCTGTTTAGATGTACATATGTGTGTATATATGCATATACATAAATATGTGTATATATATATACACACACATATATATATATATATATCTGCTCTGTATATATATATATATATATATATATGTATATATATATATACGTATATGTGTGTATATATATATACACATACATATATGTATATACTTATGTACATCGTATATCTCAAGTATTCTTTTCAAAACATGTGTGCATACGCATGCGTACACGCATCCGGAACATCTTAAGTTGTCTTGGCATTAAGGTGCAAGAAATTGAGCAGCGCTTGAGCCTCAGCTCGCAAAACCGACATGGCACCCCGACAGACAATGATGAAGGGAGTCGCGAGCGAGGGGCTTCAAGCTGAGACTCTGAGAGTTCGAAGACGTTCCAGAAAGTTCGAACATGTCGAATTTGCAGTTTGATGAAGGGAAGTCTCTTTCAATCTTCCAACTTTCAAAGACTCGAACCTCTCAGCCTTCATACATTCGAACGTTTGACAGTTGCATAGATTCGAGCTTCGAGTCTGAGGTCACGCGTAGGTTAGGCCCTGCGAGTTTGAACGTTTGAAAATTCCGGAGTTCGAGAGTTTGGAGTTTGAAGCCCGTTCGAGTTTGAAAAGTTTGGCGCTTTCGAGAGATCGACAGTTCGAGTGTGCGAGTTCGAGGGTTTGAAACAAGACGAGTTCGAAAGTCTAGCGTGGCTGCGACTTCGAAAGTTTCCCGTGTTTGAACGTTTGGAGTTCGAAAGTTTGGGAGGTTGAAAGTTTGAGAAGTTGTTTTTTTTCACGTGCACATGCAATGACGGTGGCAATAACGGTTTTTTGCGAGCTTGAGAGTTTAGAACAAGACGAGTTCGGACATCCACTCCCTGTGAGTTTGAGGGTTTCTTTCGGTTTTGAAGCAGCTGGCAGCTCGGTGCGCTTTTGCCTCGGCATGGCGGCTGTCGCGGGCTACGGCGATGTTAAGATCTTCAGGCCTAAGCACCTAAGGCCTAGAGCCTAAACCCTAAAATCTTAAGACAACACCAAATCCCGAAACTCTTATATATAACCCTACAATCGCAAGACTTAACGACTCAAATGCCGAAACACTAAGCCCTTAGCTCACACATCTTCAGGCTTAAACACGAAACTCAAAGACCTTAACCCTAGAATCGTATGGCTTGAGCAAGCTTCAGCCCTTAACCCTAAAAGTCTTCCAAATCATCAGGCCCTTAACCCTGCAACCCTAAAACCTTAAAGCTTTAGGCACCCAAAGCATTAAGCCCTTAACCTTAAAACCTTCGTTTAGGTCCTAACACCTAAACCCTGAACCCTGAGCCTTAAACCCCAAAACCTTAAGATTAAAACGCCAAAATTGTTAAGGTGCCAACCTGGAAAACTGATTGCCGAGCATCAATTCCCTAAGCTCGCACCCCCTTGTGATGTAGAAAGCCTAAACACCAAGATCCAAAGCCCTAAGCCCTGAGTTCTTAAGACTAGGCGCCGAAATCAGAACCCGAAAAAATGTTAAGACTTGAGCTGTAGGTCTTCGCCCTACAATCTGCAAAATCGTAAGACGTCTGAACGCCAAGTCCCAAGACCTTTACCCCAAAGTCGTAAGGCTGCACCAAAAACTTCAGCCCTTAGCCCTAACATCTTGACACTGAAGCACCAAAGTCAAAAGCCCTTGACTCTGAAACCTTAAGGCTTAGGCACCCATATGATTAGGCCCTTGACCCTGAAATCTTAAGACTGAAGCCCCAAAACCTTAAGCCCTTAACCCTCAAACCTGAAGCAACCAAACCATGAGACCCTCCACTCCAAAACCTTCAGGCTTTAGGCGCCCACACCATTAAGCCCTTAACCCTAAAACTGTACTTAAGGTCCAAGCGCCGGGCGTAAACACCAAAATCAGAAGCCCTGAGCCCCAAAACCTTAAGACTAAGACTTAAACACCAAAGCCTTAAGCTGTTAACCCGAAAGTCTCAAGGTCGAGCGCTAAACACCAAGACCCAAAGCTCTGAACCCTGAATTCTCAAGGTTAAGGTTCTAGGACTTTGGTGCTTAGGCCTGAAGAGTTGAACGTCTTCATATGTTGGGGTGAAGAGTTGAAGATATTGGTGCTCAAATCTTGACCACGTTCGGGTTAAGGGTTCCTAAAATCTTCTGACATAAACACCAAAGCCCGAAGCTCTTAACGATCGTAAGCCTCAAAGGCTCAAATGCCAAAAACCCTAAACCGCGCACAAATCTTCAGGCTTAAACACGAAACGCAAACACCTTAGCCCTAGAGCCGTATGGCTTGAGCAAACTTCGGCCCTTAACCCAAGAAGTCTTGACCGCTTAAACAACAAAAGCAGAAGCCCTTAACCCTAAAGCCTAAAAGAAGCTCAAGCGCCCATATCATGAAGCCCTTTAACCACGAAGCACCAAAACCTTAAGCCAACTATCAGGCCCTTAACCCGGTACCCCTAGAACCTTAAGGTTGTAGGCACCCAAACCATTAAGCACTTAACCCTAAAACCTTGGTTTAGGTCCAAACACCTAAACCCTTAGAAGTAGCAGTAGTAGTAGCAGTAGTAGCAGTCGTAGCAGCAGCAGCAGCAGTAGCAGTAGTAGTCGTAGTAAGTAGTAGTAGTAGTAGTAGTAGTAGTAGTAGTAGTAGTAGTAGTAGTAGTAGTAGTAGTAGTAGTAGTAGTAGTAGTAGTAGTAGTAGTAGTAGTAGTAGTAGTAGTAGTAGTCCGTCGTCGTCGTCGTCGTCGTCGTCGTCGTCGGTCGTCGTCGTCGTCGTCGTCGTCGTCGTCGTCGTCGTCGTCGTCGTCGTCGTCGTCGTCGTCGTCGTCGTCGTCGTCGTCGTCGTAGCAGCAGCAGCAGCAGCCGCAGCAGCAGCAGCAGCAGCAGCAGCAGCAGCAGCAGCAGCAGCAGCAGCAGCAGCAGCAGCAGTAGTAGTAGTAGTAGTAGTAGTAGTAGTAGTAGTAGTAGTAGTAGTAGTAGTAGTAGTAGTAGTAGTAGTAGTAGTAGTAGTAGTAGTAGTAGTAGTAGTAGTAGTAGTAGTAGTAGTAGTAGTAGTAGTAGTAGTAGTAGTAGTAGTAGTAGTAGTAGTAGTAGTAGTAGTAGTAGTAGTAGTAGTAGTAGTAGTAGTAGTAGTAGTAGTAGTAGTAGTAGTAGTAGTAGTAGTAGTAGTAGTAGTAGTAGTAGTAGTAGTAGTAGTAGTAGTAGTAGTAGTAGTAGTAGTAGTAGTACCAAAACATCAGAGGGTTCCGACACCAAAATCCTAAGCCTTAAACCCTAAAACCTTAAGATTTAAACGCTAAAGTCTTTAAGGCGTTAACGAGCAGCAATTCTCTAGGCTCGCACGCCCTCAACCCGACAATCTCCAAGATCGTAAGACCCAAATACCGCGACTCTAACCCCTTCGCCCTGTCAGAGTTTGACCACCAAGTCCCAAGACCTTTACCCCAAAGTCGTAAGGCTGCACCAAAAACCTCAGCCCTTAGCCCGAAAATCTTGACACCGAAGCACCAAAGTCAGAAGCCCTTAACTCTGAAACCTTAAAGCTTAGGCACCTATATGATTAAACCCTTGACCCTGAAATCTGAAGACTGAAGCCCCAAAACCTTAAGCCCTTAACCCTCAAACCTGAAGCAACCAAATCATGAGGCCCTTCACTCCAAAACCTTCAGGCTTTAGGCGCCCAAACCATTAAGCCCTTAACCCTAAAACTGTACGTAAGGTCCAAATGCCAAAATCTTAGACCCTAAGACCGTCAGACCGTGGGGCGCAAACACCAAAATCCTAAGCCCGGAACCCCAAAACCTTAAGATTTAAACATCAAAAAGCCTTAAGCTGTCAACCCGAGACTCTCAAGGTCGAGCACCAATTCCCTAAGCTTTCATCACTGTGATCTAAAAGGCCTCAGCACCCAAAAATTTCAAAGCCCTGAACCCTGAATTCTCAGGGTTTAGGCACCAAAACCATGAACCCTCAACCCGAAAGTCGTCAAGATTTGAGCCCTAATATCTTCAACTCTTCGCCCCAAGATATGAAGACTTAAGCACCAATACCCTGAGCCCTTGTGCCCTGAACCTTAAAATATTCAGGCCTAAGCACCGAAGGTCTAGAGCCTTAACCCTAAAATCTTGTGACTCATCCCCGCTGAAACTTTCGCACTCGAAGCGTCGTGTTTGCCTTGGGTTCAGGGGTTAGGCTTCAAACTTTCAAACTCGATCTCGTTTCCAACTTTCGAGCTCCAAACCCTTTCGAACTTTCGAACCCGTGCCGTTCGTCGTTGTCATTCTTCAAAGTTCGAATGTCTCAAACTCCAAAGTGACAATGGTGTTTTATCGTTTCAAACTCTCAGAGGTTCAAAGGTCAAAAAAAGTACTCGACTCCTATTGACAATGGTGGCCCAGCCGGCGTAGTGCCAGAACCGAGCTATGCAAGCATCGGTTTCGAAAGCTCCTGGCGAGCTGTAAAAATGCTTCATATGCTGCGTAAAGAACCAAGACGGCCCAAGACTTAGGAGATGAAACGACTCTTCGACGCCTTCCTTCAGAAGGGAAGAGGGTCAAACGGGAAGAGGGCCAAACTTGCTAGCCATTGTGGCTGGGAAAAAGCAGAAGTGGACCTGAGAAGACCCGAGCGCGGATGACAACATGTGAAACTGGCCGTAACTGGCCATTCTCTCATTGTGCTAAGGTCATTAACCTTTTCTCAGGGACTTTGTTTCAGTCCATGTGCATGGTGTATCGTGGCAGGGCTTCAGGGCAACGCGGAGATCAAGCTCGCAAGCAGGAGACGAAGGGGAGAGCCACACGACTGAATCGCCAATACGGGCATCCACTCAGTGCCCGAAATCTCACCAGGGCCTGAAATGAGGGTGCCCCTAGATGGACGGCTAAACCGCTTGGCCGTCGTGGCCGGGTCCCCTTCATCGGGGTTTTAAAGCGTGCAGAAGGAGAAGAAGAGACACCTACAGTCGGCCAACACGGAAGCTGGACTGAGATGTGCAGGGTTGTGCGCTTGTACATTGAGTGCCCCCCTCGAAAGAAAGGGCAAAGGAGCAAAAGAACAAAACGAAAGAAAGATGAAAGAAAGCAAGCGGGTTCGCGTTTTTGCATCAAAGGTCACGCATGTCACGCTGTTAAACTCGATGAGAACGCGCGAGCAGAACCGAGAACTTGAGGAGGCAGCCGAACGCTTTGAAATGCCGACACAAAAGGGGACAGGCATGCAAAAATCTCTCCTTTGCTTGTGGAAAAGGCCAAATGGTGCATCTGCTGAGCGAAGTTGTTTGAGCATGCGGTGCCTGAGCTTCTTTTTTCCTGGCTTGAGGCTACCAGCACGAGCTTGGCGTGGCCTCGGCCGCAGAGGCCTTCGAAGCGCTGCTCCACCAGCCGCTGCCGGGGGCCCAGAGACCTCTGTACCTCTGTGAGGGCACTGGCTGTGAGACATGATACAACATGATGCATGCACACACATGCACACCTTGTACATGTACCATGGTACTCCGAGGGACATTTCTCCGCAACGAAAGAAGTGAAACCTCAATCTGCAACACAGATCAACACAGTCATCGGAGCCTTCTCGAGGTCACAGGCCAAGATCTCGGAGATCGAGCGAGACGTTCACCGCACTTATCCGAGCCATCGGCGCTTCGAAGGCCAGGAAGGCGCCTTCCCGGCTGACAACGGATTCTAAGCGATTCACGGGATTCACGGGAAGGGATCGCGACAATGTTGCTGGTTGATTCGGGCTAATTCGCGCAGGCTGAGAGAGACATATGCTCGGATCACCACCGACAGCTTCTTGTTCTCCCATTTCGTGCGCTTGCTTTCGAAGGTGCCGAAGGGAGAGCCGAGCTGCAGCAGGTTCGCTGCAGGGACATGTCAGCAGTGCAGACAGTGTTGAAGCAAGTGTCGTGGTGAGCTGGGCTTTAAGAATTGCAGGCTTTTTTGGCGCTGGCGTTGATTTTGCCAGTGGCAAGTGCAGTGAATGTGGAAAGATGGGTTTGGGCTTGCCGAGTGTTTGGCGCGCAGAGCCATTTCCGCCGAACCAGAGCCAGGTCTTGCAAGCCACAGTCGTGGCAGAGCCAACCACTCAGCCAACAGTTCTCCGACTCCGTGATTTCTCATGGCAAGCAGTGAATAGCAGGTGGAACCTAGATCTTGGGCCGAGGACCTGCCCCCAAACTTGCAAAGCGACATGAACCTGAAAGCCAGGGCACGGTTCTACATAAGTCGTGCGCGTTTTTGCAAACATGTTTACACAATTCAAAGCTAGACCCCTCGCGCCACCACAGCGCCACATGCTCCACACAATCATGGCATTCGGATCTGCTGGAAAAATGTTGGGCAGCTAGGGGCAGGAATGCCAAATCTAGGGCACGAGTGGCATCTGGGTTGTTGGTGAAAGTAAGACCGTGGTTGGAACACAAATGCCCTGTAGTTTTTATTAGGGTTGATTTCTGTTCCCTTGCGGTTGGGAAACGATTCACATAGGTTGTGAGGGAATGTCCCTTCATGGCACGACATTCTTTCAAGCAAGTCTTGCACGGCAGCCCCCTCCCCGCCGCGATTTGCAAACACAATGCGCCTATGATGGCTTTGACAAGTATTCATTTGGGTTTTGAAGGAATGTCCGTTGGCATGTCCATTGATGGCAGGCGGCAGGACATTCTTTGAAGCAAGTTCGCAAGGCTTAACAGCAGGAGGTTGGGGGTGGGGTGGGCACTGACGCACAGACCCCAGCCCCCAGACTTTCCAGACCGTGCGCGCATTTCTGCTCACAAAACACTCCGATAGAAGGAATTGCCGGTGTCCAAACCCACAAGAAGTACGCAATACCTCATTAATCACCGGAAATCCCAGTAAAAACTACAAGCAAAATAGCAAGCGCCAATCTTGAAGATGGGAATTCTGATTCTACTCCACTTGTCAATTATAGAGTTGGGGGTCTAGGGTGTAGTCCTGATGCAAAAAGGGTGTATGTCATCAAGAGGTATTGCTTCAACAGAATATCGATGCCATGCGAGCAATTATGTTTGCAAATGGAGGGGGGGGGGGTGCTGCGCCCTCGAAATAGAGGTTTCCAAATGAAAAAACATGGGGCAACCGAGCACGGTGCCCTTAACCTCCCGAAAAGTGTTTGTCATGTTTTCGGGTGATGTTCCCGTCGACAACAAGCTTTGAGTAGTGGTGTGGGGGTTGTCACTGCGTTCTAGCAAACTCGTGTTCCCCCGTGGTGCGACGCAATCGACTTGGCGGGTGTCACACAAAGGGCGAAGCCAATCGTTCCAGGCCGCGAGGAGGTTAGTGCAGGTGTTGGTGTTGGTGTTTTGATATGTTGTGCATGTTAATGTTCATGTTCTTGTTCTTGCGGCTAACAGCAAGCAGAGGTGCAACGGCTAAAGCGCCGGAACGGGCCTGCTTTCCTTAAGAATCAGGACTTTGTTTCATTCGTCTTGCTTGAGAGCCATATACGCAAGTGCCCATGAGGCCAAGCAGCATCGTACAGTCTGCTGTTGCGCCTAAGCTTCATCACGCCTCACCGTTAACCGTTTCACGCTTCGCCCCAACACGGGCCCTTCTTTTCCTTCTCGGAATTTGTCGGCAGGTCCGGCTACTTAAGGCGGCGCTAACTACGGCAAGTCTTAAGTTTTCAGATGGGGCCCGCAATGAGCAGAACACGCTGGTTCAGCGCTCAACCAAAAAGCAAAAAGCTGTAATTGTATGTTGTTGCTGCTGTTGCTGCTGTCGCGCTGCTGTTGCTGCTGTTGCTGCTGCCGCCGCGGCCGCCGCGGCCGCTGCTGCCGCCGCTGCCGCTGCTGCCGCCTCTGCCGCTGCTGCCGCCGCTGCCGCCGTTGCTGCCGTTGCTGTTGTCGTTGTCGAGTTGTCGTCGCTGCTTCACTTTCCGGTCGCGCCTCAGGCCCAATGTTGGCTACTGCCAGGGTATGAATTTCGTGGCAGCCACCCTGACGGGGTCTCAGCAAGAAGCCTGAAAGATGGTCGCGAATGTCTCCAAACTCTAAGCATTCTCGCTTCTGAGGCTGATACATCTCGGATCAGCCAGCGATGCGTTTTGGCTGTTGCTCGCGTTGCTGGAAAGTTGCATTCTCAGAAGCAATGAAACGGGCCTGCCAAAGCCTGCTACAACAGCTACAGGCAGCAGCAGCAGCAACCACAACGAGCAGCTGCGCAGGCTATCACTACAGATTCGTCTTCGCGCCTGGAGCACGAGACTCATTTGCTGGTGCCCGTGCCGCTAGGCGGCTAGGGCGGCCGCTCGGAGTCGCCTGTTTGCGCCGAGGTCCCGCTTCTACCGTGTGAGACTTGGAGAAAGTCAGGTCTTCCAAGTCTGCAAAATGGAAAGTGCGACCTGTACTGAACCAACTAGATGCAGGCATGAAAAAGGGAATTTGTGCTGGTGGCCCCAGTAAGGCTTCGAGTTTTCCAATTTGCCGGCATCGTGCAGAGATGCCTGCCCAGACTTTGGCGACATCTCCGAGAGGACAGCCCGCGTTAGAACAAACCAGTGTCTAGAATCACTAGAATCACTAGAGCCGAACGGCGGCTGTCAACCTGGCAAACGTCTGACGATGGTTGAATCGGTCCTTCCGCTGCATGACAGGATGGACATTCCTTGGAGATTTTTGCCCACCAGTGTGTCCGCACCACGCATGTCCCACAGCCTTACTACCAAGAACTTCTGCAATTGGCCCAAGGTGTTAACGCTTTTCTCCTACAGCTTGGAGTGGGCAGCCCACGGACTGCGGATGTTTGAGGGATGTTTGAGGGCTATCCGGGCTGTTGGCTTGGCGTGTTGGCATATGAGACCTTCCTGAGAGGCCCGACCTGCTTGCGTATGTCTACGACGCCTTTTTCCTCCAGGGTTGGAAGGCCGCCTTTTTCTGGGGGTCGGTTGCACGTGGGGCCGGAAGTCATCCGCGGCGAGCACATCACAAGCTATGATCATGATTTGCCCTGATTTGCACTGCTTTGAACGGCAGCGTGCATGCTTGCGGAGATCGTCTGCCGAAGTGTTTATGGTCAGGCTGTCTTCCGAATAGGCTCGGTCCTTTGTGTTGCGAGTGCACCGGGTGCAGCTTCGTGTACAGCAGTTCCTCAGCCGTTCCTTTGTTCAACGACGTGTCCGGGCGTCCGAGGTGCAAGCCTGCTGGCATTTCTGGAGGAGCAGCTGTGATGGGCTTACAAGATGCCTTGAAGCAATTCTGAAGCAATCCGAATCGAAGCTGGCCTCAGTGGCTCTTAGCGACTGTAGCAGAGGTTACAGATGAGCCTGGAGGACATCTCACACCACTTGCACCAGAGCGGCCCTCGGTTCTTTCCATGGAAGCGACATAAGACAAAGACGCCAAGAGTCACCAAAGCTGACGCTCTAGGTGCAAGAAGCACCTCCGTCTGCCGCAAAGAAAGGGGCTGCCTTCTGAGATTCTAAGACGGCGCCAAGCATTCCAAGCGTGCCACAACAGACGAGACACTCCCCAGACTCCCCATGTGGAGCCACAGCTCTTTCATCGCACTACCGGTTTTGACGGCTATGACCAGCGAGTTGGAGCTAAGGCAACTTGCAGCTGCGTTTCGTGTATTGCTGCGCTTTGACGTGGGTCTCGGCAGTCTCTTGGCGATTCGTAAAGGGGAAGAGAAGTCCTGGATGCTGTTCAAGCATGTTCAAGCATGTTCAAGCATGTTCAAGCCATGTTCAAGCCATGTTCAAGCCATGTTGCATACGAGTCAGGCCTTGAGGAGCTGGAATCGGCCTTCCAACTCCAGCGGCTGGAGGCGGACATGAGACTCCTCCAAAGCCCCGTGCGTTGCGAGAGGATCTGCAGCTCCGCAGCTTTCAGGGTTCGGCAATCGCTGAGGGTTGCAACTTCCGTTAAGCTACTTACTATATGGGTCACAATTGCACTCACCGACTCGGAGGGTGGGCTTGTTGAAATGTTCAAAGACAGCCTCCAGGAAGTCCAAGACTGCACCTTTTTGGGCGAGGTTCTGTTCGGGTGTGAGCCCGGTCACCTGATCCAGGGCTCAATTCTCAAAGCAAAGGCGGTGAGTAGACGAACTGACAGGTGCTGCTGTCCCAGGTGTCGCTCACCACCGACCTAGATGTGCAGGCTGGCAAGCGCCTTGTTCAGCAGCCACAAACCAGGTAACCAGGTTGCGGGCGACTGCAGATTAGACCTGCTTGCCAGCAGCAATGGGCTATGACATGTCTTGGAACTGCATGGCGGGGCCATGGGCTCGCTGCGCATAGGGCTCTTTGGCTTCTCAGGTGGTTTAGTTTGATGTATTTTGATGTGGACCACTTGCGCCTGTACATGCAAAAGAATTCTCTTACCCTCTACATGTTGCAGCGATGGCATCAGCCCTCTTCCAGAAAAGGCCAGGCAGCAAGCAAGCTCACGCATATTGGCAGAAAGCACTTCTAGCATGGTTTGGTTAGCTTTTCCTTTGCTGTATCTGTGGAATGGTACGCTTCGGCCTTCGTGACTTCGTAAATGTTCGGCACTCGGACAGGCTATGAGAGAGATGCAGAAAATTGATTCGTCGACACGATGCGGCGAATCTGGAAAGCGTGTCTAAAAATCACTTCTTGGCGGCTGTTAGCTCAAACCCTCGCGAGTGGAGCCAGCTTAGCCACAAATATGCTGGTCTTTATCCTGGCTTTGGCTGCCCAGCTGGGTGCAGCAGTGCCGACGGTGACACTCTCGAATGGCGTGGAGACTCGTCACATTAAAAGCAACCAGAAACTTTGCAGAGTGCTGGCTTTTCTTGGCTGCAAGCTGAGCGTCCCAAGCCCCCAGGAGATGCCAATGCTAGCCGCAGGCTCCTGGCAGCACCCTGTCGTCGATTGACCCATGTCGCCGTTTCCTGGCATGGGAATGGGAAGGGGGACGACCTTTCTCTGAAGGCCTGCAACATTCCAAGGTACAATATCACGGAGGCTTACCAATCCCACGCCTTGGCACTCAAAGCGGGGTTCACAATGCTCGAAGCTTGTCTCCGCTTGGCGAGCGCAAACGACTACGGGATGTAGGAGGTCTCCGCAAAAGTAGCGGGTAGATGCGTAAGTGATGTCAGAGTATTGCTCTCGAGGACACTGCCCTGGACTACCACAACCAACAGGGGGTGGGCCGTGCGATCAACGAGGCTGGCATGCGTGAGAAGATCTTTGTGGAGACGAAGATTCCAGGCTGCGGGATGGACAGCACGATGCTGAACGTCTTCAAATGCTACGAGAACACCAAGCGAGACTTGGAGTTGGATCTTGCGCAGCTCAACCTCTCCTACGTTGACTTAGTGATCGTCCACTTCCCCCCGATTTCTTCCATGGTGACTCGGTCATGCAACAGCTGGTCGGGAGGTTGTCAAATGGTTCGAGCGCAGTGGAAGGCCATGGAAGAGTTTTACAAGCAGGGAAAGGCGCGTGCAATTGGAGTATCGAACTACTGCCCCAGCTGTTATGACTGTCTCAACTCCACAGCCACGGTGCTCCCAATGGTGAACCAGGCCAAGGGACGCTTAGGGCTTGGGGCTTGGGGCTTAGGGCTTAGGGCTTAGGGCTTAGGGCTTAGGGGGCTTAGGGGGCTTAGGGGGCTTAGGGGGCTTAGGGGGCTTAGGGGGCTTAGGGCTTAGGGCTTAGGGCTTAGGCTTTAGGGCTTAGGGCTTAGGGCTTCGGGCTTAGGGCCGAAGGTATATGAAATAGATTAGTATGAGGCGGGATGCTGCAGAGTCCAAAAAGGGTTTATGTCCAAGGGCCAAGTCTTCCAAGTAGGGAACCCTCAGGTTCAGATTCATCTGGGCATGGGGACGGATCCAGCTGGCTTCGTATCTTACCACAAGGCTCGAGGAATCCAGCTCCAAGCCTACAGCGTGCTCGGAAACAGTGCAATCAGCCACAAGGCTAGTACCTTGGCTCAAATGTCCCTGATGGCCCTGATGGACTGATGGACTCTGCTAGGCCTCGACACAGTCGCTGAATCCGCCAGCTCCTGCTGTCCACTGCTGTCAGGTCCAGAGATCCTGAGCGGCAACCTGACCACCGGCATTGCTAAAGCTCACGGAAAGAGCTCTGTGCAAGTGGCACTGAAGTGGGTGGTCTCGCAAGGTGCCGACAACCGAGCCGTAGTTTTCTATGTTTATTTTGTTTTAGTTGCAGTCCCTGTGGTTTGCCCAAATAGTTTGCAAACTCTTGTCGGAGGTATCCCTGCAGTGACGAAGTCGGCCAACCCTGAGCACCTGAGTGCAGACCTGGACCTCTGGTCCTGGGACTTCACTCCGGAGGAGAAGCAAGCCCTTGACGCCTTGACTTCTCCCAAGGGCTCGCCGTCTTTTGCGTGCGCATCCGATTCGGCAGAGATCTTGGTTTGAGGCATTCTGAGAATGCGGTTGGCAAGCCTGTGACATTCTGTGTTTCTGCACACGAGGTGCTTGACCTCCTTTCAGTGTTGCAGTGGAGCCTCGCTTCCTTTTCGCTGCACCATCCCGCAGCTTCAGAAAAATGGAGAAGCACCCCCGATGACAGTTCGCATCAATTCGCATGATTTCGCATGTTGGCACTCCATAGAAAGGCTCCGACCGCCAGGTTCAGGTACGCTCGGGGGAAGAGAAGGTTGCGTGGACAGCATCGGTACCTTGCCGCGGCCTTTTTGCAAACGATGCCACCGGGCGAAGACCCGGAAGCCATGAGCTTGTCCAAGGTGTGGTTCTTTAATGTCTCTTTAGCCATCATCTAACATCTCAGTCTCCTCAGCATCGCAGAAGGAAGACCGACTGAGTGTAACAGCGTAAGAGTGCGACCAAACAATCCAACACCATGCAGCCTAATAGTTGTGGCCGCAAGCGCATGCTTCATGCATGTGGTTCATTGGCGCAGAAGTCCTCTTGGGGGTTTAATTGCTGCAGATTGGTGCAGCATCGCAGCATCGCGTCCCAATGAGCGTAAGAAGCTCTGCATGACATGGAGCCACTGCCAGTGGCCGCGGCCCGCACGACTCGCACGACGACTGCGAAACCGGACCTGGTCCAAGAGTCTGTTCCGAGGAGTCCTCGAAAAGCAATGCAGTTCGTGGCACGAATGAGACGCTTGGCTCCCAGCTTAGAGCTAAATCAGGTTCAGGACGAAAGCTTTCACTTAGGGCTTTCAGGCGCAGGTCCAGGGGCGACAGGCAAGTCGTGCCGGGATTGCCTGGGGCATACAGCAGCAACGGGCGCGTGCCAACCGGGCAAGGACCCATTCCAAAAACCCATTTGAGGGCTAGACATGTATTCCAAACTGACACATGCTGTGCCTTTTCCTTCTCTCATAATTACGAACATGACATGTTCTGCAACGTCGCATCACAAGGCCGGACCACAGATGTTAGATTAAAGTGCGCATGTGAAGGGCTGAAGCATGGCTGTGCGCACGGAGTCATAAGGTGGTTACTATCCCAGTGCCCTCGCTTCAAAGTAGGAGCTGCATCCAACCGCAGTTTGCATTCACAGGTGCAGTAAGAAAGTGAGGGTCGGTACACCCCCTGCCTATACCTATGACACTTCAAAATGGTGCTTGTCAATCAGGAAGTAGATATCATAGGAGTTTCTTTGTTGAACTTGACACCCATCAAAAACCTATGTGATACAACCGCTCCACGAGGGTGAGATGGGGGAGACAGCCCAAATTCGAGTAGCTATGCCCACACCAGCTCGCGCATGCCCAAGCGCATCCCAGCCCACGTCTCACTTCACATCAGGAAGCCTAACAAGCTCGCCTGAGTCACCGAACTCGTCGTGTACCCAAGAACATGACGAGGGGCGAATCTTAGGCGTGGACTACAGTGAGGTTTGTGTCCAGAGTCTAGAGCGCTGTATTTTCACGAGACCGAGTCACGCAATCTCGTCGAATTCCGAGATCTCCCTGTGAGGCCTTTGCGCCGACAGCGAAGCTGGACCCTCTCATTCAGGCCTTCTACACCTCCTGCGTCTACTGCCGCTTTGGCTCTGCTGCGGCCATGCGAAAGCCAAGGCAACTTTGGTGGAGTGCAGAGCTTGGTACTACGATCAGCCAGCTTGATTTGCGAAGGACCTGTCCAGCTTCCGACTTTCGGAGCCCGAGCGCCGCGCCGCCAAGGAGCGCTAGTGGAAGTGTCAAGACTGTTAAGACCCCCGGAGCTCGTTGATTCGGAAACTGAATAAACGACTCTGCTTCTTTGCGTTGCTGAGTACTGAGTTTAGCCACTTAATGACGCATGATTTCAAGGCAAGAATGGTTAAATGTTGGCTTTGTCGACCTCAACTTACTTGCACATGGCAAGTCTTAAGATCGGGATCAAAGATGCTCAATGCAGCGAGGAGTGCCTTCAACGCGCACGGCAGGCCTGGAGATCCTGGTAATGTTTGACTGTTCCGGGTCCAGGTTCGCTGGGGGCACATAGTGGTGGTGCCATGGCAGCAGGTCCCTGGCCGACACAGGCCTTAGGAAACCAGATCGCCGATCTCACTTGTGATTCGCGGTAGTACTTCGTAGCGGTAGCGTGGGTGTTCTCGACGGTGACCAAGCTTCGATGTTTTGCTGAGGGCACATATGCTGCTGTGTTGGTGTGTGGCTCTGCAGGGTCCCCGGACCAGTATGACCCAGTTTGGAATGTGTAGGCTGGAGATGGCGATAAGCCTTCGATGTGCTTCATGCGCCAGGCAGGGAAGCACCAGTTCAGTTTGCACGTGCAGGGACAAGTAAGGAGAGAGAGTGAGAGAGAGAAAGCAACGCTAGCATCTAAAAGAACATTTACAATCATAGCAAAAGACAAGAGACACTCGCACCCTCTCTCTGATTCTAAGGACATCTTGAGCGGGAAGTGGGCTCACTTCCAACTTGGCACCGGCAATGCCAAGAAGCCACGGCAGACGGAGAGCAAAAGCAAGCAAGTGCAGATGAGGCATGGCGCACACTGCGGTCTCCTTAAAACCATCTCACAGACATCTGTCATTCGCCTTTTTTTGTCAGAGGCCCATCCACGAAGAGCCCGACCAGCTCAAAGGATGCCCCTTTTGCGCTCTCCACCCTCCTGAAGCCGCAGACGTGTTGCGCTTCGAGACACTCGGCTGGTGATCGCTGAGGTTTTGTACTCGTCCCTCTCGGGGTCCCTGTGCCCTGTGCAAATCCCCTGTGCAACTCTCCCACATCCTAGGGAGCTCAAGAATGGCGAGGCCGCGATGCGTCATGCAGCCTTCCTGTGCCTTACTGCCTTACTGCCTTACTGCCTGACAGGCATCCACTCTGTTCCCCCATCAGATCCCATCAGCTGTAAGTGAGAGCGCGGGAGTCTTGAGACCACCCGGGAGAGGTGGGTGTAACAGGGCACAATTACTTGTGTCGCCTACCTGCCTGTTCATGTGCCCTGGCGTCACGGCGTCCAGGCCGAGTACGACTCGATGTGGCAGGCACTCAAGGATCACTTTTGGTATGCAGCTTGGTCCGAAACACTTTGGTCTTCGATCTGTTCGAGATCTCACGCCTCGGCCGCTTCTGTAGGGTTTGGAGTGAGGCGGAAGACACTTTTGCCGGCCACCGCCTACGTCGGGACACGTCTCCAGTGGCATTGAGATGCATTGAGTATTGCTACTTCCGTCTACTTCTCCAAAGCTGCTTCGAGAAGCTGGCTTGTGTCTTGGGTGCTCTGCTGCAGGACTGGTCACGCCCCGATCCATCCCGGCCTGCGCAGGTTCGGGTCGCAAGGAACTCAGTGGACGGAAGAGTGGCATTGAGAATGGAGGAGTTGCTCCAAGCTCATGACTGAGGTCCGCAACATTTTCCCGAGCATGAGCGTGCCACGCGAATATTACGACGACGACTACGACGGGGGATTTCTTGAAGACATGACTGGAAATATGATCAATCCTGCCGTGGAGCACCCCTTGTACCTGCAGGCAGCTGCTGTGGCCACGAACGGTCATTACAAAACAAGAATGCACCATGAAAGAGCCGCATGCCAGCATGGCTATCGCATGGCCATCACCAGCTGCAGACAGGTGCCCGGCGTGGGCTTCAACGACGTGGTAATCGAGACACCGTGGCACAACATGTGCGCCGCCCTGGAGCGGGAAGAGCCCCTCGGATCGAGTTCGGAGAGGATGGAAGAGACAGGCTTGATGGGCACTGCACTGGGCGTCCATGCGCAAAGAGGGTCATGTGGCCGAAGCAAAGGTACATTGCCCTGACTCTGCGTGCGATTGTCATACGAGGGAGGGAGCTGATGCAAAATCCTTTGGTGCGCTATGTGTCGGCTTTTTGGACAGCACAGCAGCTAGGGTGTAATACGGTTGTACGACCTGTCCTCAGCAAACGGTTGCCCGATGTTTCTGGCATTATGCTTGCTGGTGAAGTGAGGTGTTCAAGCAGCACAAGTGCGGAAGCATTGTTCACGCTCACTGGCAAATCATCACCACACCATTTGTGCCCAGTTCTGTGGATGTCAGCTCCTCAGCACTGCGGTGGTGACCAGCATGTAGGGATGCACTTGCATTTCAGTGCCAAGCCAGATGTCGTGCAGACCATGCGCTGTGCGCATCAGGTTCAGTTGATACGCGCAGCGCGGCTCCACAGACGCTTCAATGCTTGCATCGGCTGCCAGGTGCGGGTGCCAGGCCACTTTGTTCAATGCATGATGTCTTGAGTATGCTGGAGTTCTCCCAGGTCCTGGTAACGGCGCCAACCGGTGCCGCATGACTGAAAGACTGAAAGGGGAGTCAATGTTCATTGCTGCAAGCCTGGTGTCTAAGTCTAAATTCAGAGCCACCAGAGCTGAGAGGTTGCCAACGGTCCTGTCAAATCCTTCGTTCTCTTGGCAGGTGTGATGGTGTAACGGCTTCTGAAAAGAGAACATGAGAAACCCCAAGATGAGAGAGATCTGCTGAGTCCGACCTGGCCAGCGAGCGATTGGTCCTCGAGACGAAGCACTTTGTGGTCTCGGACGCTTGCCTGTTACGTCCTCTGCGGTTTTAAACTAGGAGCAGGCCAAAATGCTCAGAATCCAGTCTCACCTCCTTTTAATTTCTGTTGAGATCTTTTCAGGCGCCCTTTGCCTGCCGCGAGCGTTGGCGGCTCTACCTTGCACCGAAGCGGCACTCGCCGGACGGGCCACAAAGCAAATTTGGAGCATATTTGGCATGTCGGGATAGGAGGTTCAGCTCCAGGAGCCAGTTCATGAGATCTTCACCACGTAGGGTCCCATCGGTCCGGCGAATTTCGACAAGCGTTATCCATTCCAGCTCGGGGATCTTGAGGGAGGTCTGGGGGAGGTTCGGGGTTGGCTGTGTCTTGTACAGATGGCACGCCCAGTGGTTCCACAGCGTGCGAAAGCTTCAAGAGAGGATTTCTTTGCCACGACGGAAGACGAGTTGGTTGATCTTGCGCATGTGCTGAAGAGAGTGCTTCAGATGCCGCTCGCTTCAATGGCATTCAAAATAGTTGAAACAACACTCGAGTTAGCTGAAGCCATGCGACATGTAGGCAGCACCGCAGCATGCAGAGAAGCGTGAGACTCGAATCTCCGTGCAGCCTTAGGTATTACCACAAGCTGGATGATTGTCCTTTCAACATTGCTGTCTGGACTCGGCCGACCGTTGTGAAGGATGATTCTTGGCTGCGCGCCTTCAGGCGCGCCGAGCAGCACCAAGCCACACAAAGCCAGTCCGCCCACTGGTTTTTGGATGCTAGCCTGGTGGCTTCCCTGAGGTGGAATTCCGGGCCGGACGGCTACTTGTCTGCAAGACAGCTGGCGCGAGAAAGGCTCGCTTCAAGTGGCGAGAGATCACCGAGTAAGAATGCAAAATGTTTACTGTGCCGCTTGATTCGAAGATGTGTATCATGCGTTTCGGTTCACACCCCATGCCGCTGCCGAGATTGCCGCCACTTCCACTGGCATATTGGCTTCTACCCAAGAGGGAAGCCAACACCACAGGGCTTCAAGAACGCAACAGACATTGCACCGATGAAGACGCTTCCTGATGCTGGTCGTGTCATAACCCTATTTTTTGGTTGCAGATAGTTCCGTACGGCAGGCGCGCATGTCTTGTCTGCAAAGGAAGATGATGCGGCAATCATGCGGCAATGGCTCACAGAGCTCCAGTGACGCACGGTTCTACCCGCTGCAAGTATGGCACTTTGGGTGTGGAATTCTTGGGCCGAAGGCAGCTACAAAGCGTTACGAATAATTGTAGCCGGGGCCAAGTTGGCCGTGCAGAGGGCAGGTCTCATTCCACACCTCAAGAGCGAGTTCTAGACTCTAGAGGGGCTAGGCCCAGCTGTAGAGCCGAGCCTTTTCGACTCCTCCCCGAAGCTGTGGGAAAACTTCTCAGTTCAAGGATTTCACAGAGCCTCGGGCCTCTAAAGTGCTTTCAAAGCGTTTCTCTTGTTGCGGCATCGCCAACCCACAACGAGCTTTACTCAGATCTCATGTTTGTTTGACACTGGACATGAGTTTCCGGTCCCTGCCATAGAGGCTGTGCGATGCCACTTGGCTTGTGTTCATACCTCCAGCAATTGGGTCCTTCAGCTCCCCGATGTTCCTCCCAAACAGCACCCTCAGCATGTTACCAGTACCAGAAAACCGAATTCAAAGGCTCCACGAATTGGAGAGGTAGCAACTTTGGGCAATTGCCGGAATAGAACACATGACTGCGAGTGTGACTGTCGGACGCTTTTGTTCTGTTGCAGTCCTGCTTCTTTGCTTTCAGGGGTTCCGTGGTATTTTTGCTTAGTGCTGGTGTTTTTGCACGTTCTGCATTTCATGTGCCTACCTGTGGGGCCCTGCGGGTGCGTGTCAAGACCTGGCCTTACTGCATGTGTTGGTCCACAGTCAAAGTAGGGGTCCATGGTCCATAAGCCCCAACGGTCCCTCTGCCGGAGGGTTCTGTCCAGCGGGTGTCAAGGTCCAATGCTGTCAATACGAACAACCTTTTCGAAGGGAAGCACCCTGCTGTGGCGGCACCATCCCTGAACCCTCGATCATGTGAGCGCCCACCCTGGCCGTACTTGAACCTGCCTATACAGCCACATCCACACAGCAGATGAATTATTGAGTAAAATGGCGAGCAGCTGAAGGATTCGAACGACAGCTTCCACGGTCGGATGGCTCACCTGACAATGGACCAATCTAGCACGAAGTTGGCATGCAGAGGGATGGGGGGTATCGGGGCGTGTATGGCCAAGCCATTGAAGCCAAGACCTGAACCGGACATTGTGACCGAGCCATGTTTCCTTGTTCCATGGTCCATCCGAAGTGCGGTTGGCCGATGGCTATGTCGAAGACGGCTTGCGGTCAAAGACAACGTAGATGCCGCTACTCAGTCCGGATGATCCGGATGCACCTGCTAAAGCAGAAAGTTGATGCGCAGCTTTGCGGAAGGAAAGCGGGAAGGCTTTCAAACTCGCAGCAGAGAGCTCATGAGAGTTCACGCCAGTGCCAGCCGGATACTTTAAGCGTGTCAGTGGGTAAGGAAATGGTTGTACTTTGCATCGCGTCTGTCGCTTGCACCATGCGCTTTTTGCCTGGAGGCAAACATTTTCTAGACTTGACACTGTTGGCTAGATAGGTGCCTGCCAGCATCACGACTAACAGTACAGTCAGTACTGAGGTGAATAAGAGCACAGAGAGGAGACGGGACGGCCAATGCAGGCCAAGGCTTTGGTGTTGGTAGAAGGAACAAATGTCAGGCACAGTAGAGTAGAACAGGAGTTTGACAGCCTTCCGAAAAAAACAGTTGGACGACTGCTGTGACCACAGTTCGCGGCAGGCGACAAAGAGCGAGCTTCTGCACGAACTGCAGCTTCTAGCACAAAATTGCTCAACAACCTGATTAAAAAAGCCTTCTGCGTGAGAAGGTCGCGCTAGCCATCTACGTAGAACCGAGGTCCTCATGCGCGCTCTCTGGCGCCATCTGGCGACTGCCGGCTGAGATGTAGATATGAGTGAGTTGACATTCGCTTCACATGCGCACATGTGCTAAAAGCGTTCAAACTGTATGCCAGTACATGCCAAAGGCGTGCACAGGCTATGGACATGATGAGCATCGATGCTGGGTTTGTGTGCCTTTTTGTGTCCCTCAGGCAAATGACATGCAAGTATTCTGCATGTGGACTTCAATCTGAATGGCCCCCCGCCAAAGCAACTCTCACATACCCTCGCAGCAACCGCGTGCAGAGACGCTGTAAGAGAGCCCCAAGCCTGAGAGTTGGGCGATGTTGGGCAGGCATCTCCTCACTCCCTCAATGACGAGCCCCTGCTAGCAACTTAGCACTTGAGAGCTTGGGCAGAGCTGAACTCCGGGGTTTGGCGGCTTTGCGAATTGCACGGACTTGAGTTCAGGATGTCGTACAGAGGGCCCCCTTTGTGCTTGGCACTGTGCTTGGCCATAGCAGGCCTGCAGGTCTTGAGCGCAGCTCCTCGCTCAACGGCCCCTTGGCAGAACTCAGAAGTTCTCTGAACATATCGGCCTATTAGAGGAGAGGAGGGAAGAGTGTGTCCAATCTAAGAACATGATAGATCATGGCTGCTTTGCTCAAGCTTTTGAGCCGTTTGCTTTATCATCTTGCCGCCAGGCTTTTTGGTGGATGCTAACAGCTTGAGGAGATGAAATGAGTACTCAGCAAAGATACACTCATTCATACAGTCACAAGCTCTCATATACAGTGCATAATGTGAAGGTTATATATAGTATGCGACGCCGGCCAGGAGCGAAAACTTACCTCCCAGAGGCCCGGGACCGACCATCCATGCACGGCATCTGCCCCATGATGTCGTTGCTCACAGAGACAGGCGAGAGAGAGAGAGAGAGAGAGGGAGAGAGAGGGAGAGAGAGGGAGAGAGAGGGAGAGAGAGGGAGAGAGAGGGAGAGAGAGGGAGAGAGAGGCAGAGCCCGCAACAAGTTGGGGCGCGTGAACCGCCTCAGGCCCCATGAAAGAAAGAAAGAGAGAGAGAGAGAGAGAGAGAGAAAAAAAGAGAGAGAGAGAGAGAGAAAAAGAGAGAAAGAGAGACAGAGAGAAAGAGATAAAGAGAGAAAGAGAGAAAGAGAGAAAGAGAGAAAGAGAGAAAAGAAGAGAAAAGAAGAGACAAGAAGAGACAAGAAGAGACAAGAAGAGACAAGAAGAGAAAAGAAGAGAAAAGGAAAGGAAAGGAACAAAGAAAAGGAAAGAAAAGATAAGAAAGAAAGAAAGAGAGCACTGCTCAGTACTCTTTAAGGTACTACTCTTTGAGAGCTCTACAAAACTGGCTCCTCCCGGCCAGGTGGCACTGTCGTCGGGCGCCTGCGCCCTCCGGTCAATCAAAGCTCTACGAAGGAGGCTTGAAACTTCAATAGCTTCACCATGCAGCACAAGCAAGAGATGTCGACGCAGCAGAGGCAGCAGAGCGAACTGAGAACCTCTCAGAGCATTTCAAAGTCATCAGGTGGCCCTGAACATGAGCCCAGACCTTCGCCCAGGAAATGTCAAACAGGAAAGGCAAAGTAGGGCACACAGCCTTCGTTGACCGCTATGAAACTGGAGAGGCGTTTCCTGTGGATATGGCGGAGCTCAAAAAGCTCAAGGTTGCTGACTAAGTGGCTAATCCGGGCTCTGGATGACCCTTGCCAACGACTGGACCTCAGTGGAGCCCTCGACTAATCGATGTGAGGCTGAGCTGCTGCACTTCGATGAGCAGACCCAGTTTGACGTCAAAGAGTTTCGCCACCGCATTGCTGAGGCAAGTTTCGCTAGTAGCTCGGCCCAGCCGAGCCCGTTCTTGTTTTCATCTCCAATCTCTCCAGGCTGAGAAAGAGCTCCGTGGCCTTCTTCGGAGCAGCTCAGACTTCCGCATGGAGGCCCGTGGGACTCCGACATCATCAATTTGCTTTAGCTACTTTTGCCGTGTCATCTGCACCTGCAGGTTGAAGATGCAGAATCGAAATGGCAAAACAAGTTGGAATACAAGAAGGTGGGGGGGGGGGGGGGGGAGGGGGAGTGGCAATAGATCTCGCTGCAAGACTGGTCCTCATGCAGGTCTTGATGGATGCCGTGCAAGTGGCGGCCTTCTTAAGCGATGGCATAGTGGTGGACATGTGCAATCACACACACACACACTATTCGTTCGTCAAGTCTTCATGCAGCCAACTGATCTGAGCGCTTCGGCATGGTTGCGCACGAGGCCGTGGACTCTGCAAGGCCTTCTGAGCCAATGGAAGCAGCCCCACAGGACTTGCAGCTTGATCAGCTTTTGGGGTAGACAAAAGTTAAACCTATGCACCAGGCTTGTTCACTCGAGTCTGAGCTGTTGGCAGAGCACGTGTCACGAAGCTTGCATTCGAATCTGCGGCTCTAGTTTGAAATTGAAGGCAGAGACCCACCTGTTTGCGTGAAGATGTACGAACTGAGTTTAGGGGCCCGGCGGCAGGCTTGCGCCAGGTCTGCACAACATAATGTCTAAAAACGTTTCTCTCTGCACACCAAAAAAAGCCCCAACCCACAGGACCGACACACGACAGCCGCGGATCACAAGTCAAATGAGCGCCTTTTCAAGACACCCCCTTAGTGACTTTACTGGGAACTATTGGCTTTGCTGACTTTATATTCTATTTCGACTTGTGCGCATGATGCTGTCCAAGACTGAAGATGGATGACAACTCGTCCCGGAAATGTACAGGAAACTGTTGAGCGCTTTTTCGAACTGTTCCAATGGATTTGCCACTTCATATGGCCGCCGTCGCTGGTCAACTGCACACATCAAAGAGGTTCGCCATGTCCGGCCCGTCCACTGAGTCATCTACCAAACGCGCATAGACAGCGATGATGGAGCCAGATCTGGCAAATCATGTCGTTGTCCCCTGTGCCAAGAGCACGCCTGGCGGAATGATTGTCGCTCAGCCCCTCAAAGCTCAGATTAGTCTGCACGGTTGTGTTTCTTGGTTGCCTTTGCTTTTCTTTACGAACCCACCGCGCCAGGAGGGCTTCTGTTGACTGTTGGCCCTGAGAACTGGCCAATGAATCAGAAGAACTGCAACAGATGCTTCAAGGAGCTGCTAGCCGACTGCCGCGAAAAGCCTTGGCCTCGAGTCCACGGAGTCTTGGAAATTGAAAGACCACAGACAAGGATCGGAAGGAATCACGCATAGAAACCACGGGAAACCTGCCAAACCGGTCCCGAGAGTGGGTTTGCATCGATGCACGCCGTGTCTCTTACGGAGCCTTTGGCTTGAGTGAGGCTTCAGCGTCTGCAGATCGAGATCTTGGAGGAGGAGAGACGGCGCCAGGCCAGGAGTACAAATGCGCTCAATTTTAGGCCGGATTCGAGCACATGTACAGAGTTTTCCGACGTTGGTGTGTTTTGGAGTTTTGAAACTCGATATTGTTAACGCTACGCGACCCACCCGGGCCCCGTGCCGCCACCGCAGCGGGGAGGCAAGGTCGGCTCAAAAGGCTTCCTGCATTTATTTTGGTTTCGAGTCAGTTCGACAGAGAAGGGAAGAAAGTCCTCGCAAAAACATAGACCAAAGGGCCGAGGGCGAAGGAGTGGGACAGGGTGGGCCAAGGTAAGAGTTCAGGAGGTCCCAGAGAAGGGGAAGACGGGAGTGGTGAGGACAGACGAAGCATGGACACTAGAAAGTTCCGCAGTAGGGAATGGGGGCAAACAAAAGTGACCGGGGGCAGGCGGGGGCTCCCGCACATGCGTCCGCAAGGGGAGGGGGGGGGGTTTTGCGGGGCGGTGCCCATTCCAAAAACGAACCCATCCGTAGAAGCGGATGATTGGAGGTGGGGTGCCGGCAGTTACACTCCCCAAACACCGGCGGCCCGATGCCTGGGCGACTTTTGCAACGATTGGCCCATGTGAGCCAGGCAAGGTCATCGGAGCTGGAAGCTAAGGGTGATTTTCTGGTATCCAGCCTGGTCTAGGAGAGGACTCGTGGCGCATTTCTCGTTCGCGCAGCGTGAGAGAATGACAAGCATGAGACTGAGAGGTTCATGGAGCTTTGTGAAGACATAGCGGAGCTCAAAGAGGCACCATGCTGAAACTGTCATGACAAGTCTTTGTTGTGTCGCACGTTGCTTTGACTTCGAAACTTCCATTGCAGGTGAAACAACGGTCCATGCTGCAGTTGCAGTCTTTTCTGGAGCTGCGTGAGCAGCAACGGTGCGCGCCTTGCAAAACGAAGCAGCTGTCCATACGCAAGTTTGCGAATGTTTCCTGTTTGCTCGCAAGCCCCGGGTAGTGCAGAGGATGCTTCCCGTCGCATTAAGTTTCTGCCCATGCACCCGGCACAAAGCATGCTTCGTTTGCAGGCAGGGCAGACTCAAGAATGCAGTTGCACAGCTGATGCCTTTGGCGCCAGTTGACCTGAATCGTGCCTTGGCTGCAGGCTGCCATGCCGCGCAGCATCAAGGTTAAAACCGAAACTTAGGACATCGAACGCTTTGGATGTCAAGATCATCCCCCCCCCCCCCCCCCCCCCTGCACACCAACACACACCTCCAACGTGACATCCAACATGAGGAAGACAAGGGAGACAAGTGAGGACACCGGCCACCGAAAAACCGGGGACGCGGCACACCCATCCAACATGAAGGGAAACAAGCGGAGTCACAAGCCTGCGCAAACCCGGCAGACCCATACAAAATGAAGGGAGACAAGGGAGACAAGTGGAGAACCCGGCAGGCCTATCTCGACGATTCGGAAATCCTCAGAAGAAATTGAGGACCGCAATACACGATTCATGGGTTTGAGAAAATGAAGATGCTTGGTTCCTGCGCAATTTGGCACCGTACTGTTTGGGGTCTTCGGTGGTGTGTTTTTTGGTCTGCAGCTGCCCGCTACGACAAGAGCCTACTTCTGCGGCGAAACCCCAGCGCAGCCACTAGGGCGAGACCGGCGAGAACCCTACCTCCTCTGCACAAACAATCGGAGACCACCGGACACCCCCGGTCTTAGGAAGGCTGGTTCCCCCAACAGTGGACTGGTATGCAAAGAGAGAAGGCGACTCCTTATTCTGCAGGTTGTCATTGCGAGTTTCTAGCGTTTAAGATTTGATGCGCAAGTCATCGCTGCAGCTGCTTTCATTGATTCTTATGACTTTAATTACTATGAATAATCGTCGTCGTCGTAGTAGTAGAGCAGTAGCAGTAGCAGCATTCCACAATAAAATGGCTGCCAATATGAAGTATATGAAAGTAAGACCTGTTAACACCATGAACACCGAATTTCACACCTCTAGACATGGTTGTTCTTTTGCGTAGGCTTGGCGTAGACCACAAAAACGCCAACCTCGATACCCGTTTGCTTCCAACTCTGTTTTTGCGCTGCTGCGCGCCTAGTTTGGCACAGATGGTGAAGGTCTTGCTTGCTTCTCGGCTCGCAGGCAAACACAAACTTGCGGGAAAATTCCTGCGCGTCGCGAAAACCTTGCAACAGTGCTGGAATTTCAGGCGCGTCGTGCGCGCCGCTTTTTGCCTTGAAAGCCCTGCCGCGGCACTGCGCGGCCCCGGCCCCACAAATTTCCACGATTCTCCTCGATTCTGCGGCTTGCTTTCCTCACTACAACCACGCGCCACCCACGATTCTCCTCGATTCTCCTCGGCGGACAGATCAGGTTGGTCTCCGGCGGCCACGTGCTATGTTTGTTTGCCGTTTTTGGCGATTTTTGCAGAGCTATGCTAATCTTCAAGTTTTGCAAGCGATTTGTATTTTCTGTGGCCGTGGTCCCAGAGGTCCAACTTCATGTGTTCTCGAATCATTCTTGCTGAACAATCAGCAGGAGTCTTGGCTCGCAATCCTGTTCTGTTTGTCAAGCACACACGTACTCCAAGTAGCGAAACCTTATGTTGTTGTTTTAAGGACGAGCACTTATCGTAGAACGTCCAACTGTCAACGGCAATAACTTTCACCGTGGAGGCAGATCTACAAAACATAGCAAGCGTTCTTGAGTTGGATTCCAAACCCTCACTCCTTATATCATTCGAAACCCATGGGCTAGTTCAAACGCAATACTTAGAGTCTTAGAGAATTGCTTCTCAAAGTCTTCTAAAGCACTCTTGATCACCTCCGATTAACAACACCCCCTTCCCCCCCTTCCCCCTCCGGTCCATTGATTCAACCCCCTGCTCGTTTCTCCTGTTCTTCTTGTGAATAGGACCCTGTATGCGCTCCCAATCCCTGCAGTCTTTTTAGTCAAGGCCTCAAGGCCCTGCAGTCTCTCGTTTAGGGCGCCGGCCCCTGCAGCCTCTACGTTGAAGGAACAAGGCCCGGCAGTCTCTTGCTTAGGGCTCCAGCCCTAATGCCCCACAAGCCTTCAATCTTGTAGATAGGACCCTGTAAGCTTTGCAGTCTTTGGAGTTTGGGCCTCAAGGCCCTGCAGTCTCTAGTTTAGGCTCCAGCCCCTGCACCCTACGTCGAAGGGACAAGGCCCGGCAGTCTCTTGCTTAGGGCTCCAACCCTAACCCCCTGGAGCCCTAAACTAGAGACTGCAGGGGCCTTGAGGCCTAAGCTCTATAAAGACTGCAGAGGCTTGAGAGAGCTTACAGGGTACTTAAAAGACAAACAAGAAAAACGATAAAGGGCTTGTGGGGGGTTAGGACTGGAGCCCTAAGCAAGAGATTGTCGGGCCATGTTCTTCAAACGCAGAGGCCGCGGGGCTGGAGACTGCAGGGCCTTGAGTTGATGCCTGGGCTCTAAAGACTGCAGGGCTTGCGAAAGCTCACAGGGCTTCGACCCTGAAACCTAATTCCGAATTCAAGAAGGGTTGACTCTGAGAAGTGGACAATGCTCCGCCACTACCCCGCCGTCCTCTTGAAGGATGCCAAAAAGCAGCATTTCCGGGCGAAACAGCTTGTTGCTTTGCAAAATGGCGGAAGTAGACCACGATCCCGCTTCCACTCCGCCTTAACTCCGCATGTGTTTTGCTATTTTCCTTGCAAATACCAGCATTTCGGGGACGTGATTATACTCCCCGCGCGGTCGCCGGCATGAGGCCACGTCGGACAAGAAACTCGACGGGATGATAAGGGGGTAAGGGGGTGGGC